TTTTGATCACGGTACCAATCAGAACAGAGGAAATATCACAAGGAGCCAATCAGAACTCAAAGGAATTGAGTGAACTCTTTCAAAGGGTGGGAAAACGCGCAAATCACAAAATTGATAAAGTAAAGCAGTTAATTTTTTCGTAAAAAAGGTGAAGTTACCTTTGCAATAAGCCCTTTATTCCACCCATTTTTCACCATTGCAGCAAATTTGGTGTACTGTGACAAGAGCTCTTGCACCTCTCGGACAGACACGCTGCTACGTGCTACCTGCGTGGAACGCCCTGGTTGGCGGAAAAACAGCTTTGCGCCATTGGGACTATCAAGTTCTGAAAATGAAAAGAGTCGTTGTTTTTAGCATGAAAAATTAAAAGTTTCTGTAAATAAACTTCTTCTTATTCAGCAACTGCATTGTACAACCCTACTGAATACTATAGCACGCGCAGTTTAAAACTGTAGCTTTTTCTGTGTGGGAGGCCAAACCTTCCTAGTATAGTAAGAGGTCTATGACTTTTTAATTTTATTGTTTAGAAGTAACTTCCTCTGAGGTCGTTCATATCATTCTACGGGATGTCACGCAAGAAGCGATGCATGACACCCCTACGAAGACTACCTTCCTCAGGCAAAATAAATACAGAGCCATGCCCCTGGCGGAATAAGAAACGATCCCCTAGAACTCGAACATAGCAGTAACAGACATTTTACCTTCATCATTCATGCTGTCCATAATGGTCATTAGCTTTTTTTAATCTCGCCATTGACTCCTGTTCATTTCCTTTTGATAAGAAGTCACTACTGAACCCAGGTATCATACCCTAAAACAACAACAAAGAAACAAAAATTACCAGAAACATTTCAGTAATTGCACAAGTTAAATTTAAAAGAAGAGTCAGATTTAATTTCATTGGTGTTAACCCTTTAACCCCACGATCTCATTAGTAATTCTCCTTACTGTCTGCCATACAATTCTTCTGATGTTACTCCTGAGAATTTAGTATTGGATCAACTAATAATCCCTAATTGATATTTTTCTAATGCTTCTCATCACTTGTCTTCTTTGATTTTGTATTGATATTGTAAGGAGAAATTCTTTCTTGGTCACTCATGGGAGTTAAAGCCAGGTTAACAACTAAAACAGCTTGAGCACTGTCTCCTTTGCTCTCTTGTTTCAAAACGGTTGTTTCAAGAATGGGGCCATAATTAAGAATATCGGAAAGTTGCTTACCATATGATTTGGCCAAAATGGCCCCATCTTCATGATGTTCTGGAACTGTTCATACATATCTCGTGAAACTGAAAACACCTACATAAATAATAGATTAGGCCACATGAATTGCCACTTACATTAATTTTATTACTATGACCAGTAGATCATTGCCTTTAAAAAAACCTAGTAAATAGATATTTCACTACTATCTGTTTAGGAGTTCTCACCATGTTTGAGCTTGTCGATAAGTTCCTCATTGTCTTCAAGCTTCATTCGTTGACTTTATCAATCAGTCCCTTCGATGTCTCCCATTCCTAAAGAAGACACAAGAAGACAGCACTTTAGTTCGATTACAGGTAATTTAGTATGATCAACTCAGTTGATGGATGAATTAGCCACTGTTAAAGAGTCTTAAAGCTGATGTTTCAAGCTTAAGCTCTTTGTTAATTCACATTAGTCAACCTTTGAATAAACACAGAGTTGTTACTTGACCCTTCCATCCCTAAATGACCAGCATCTAATTTCTCCTTACAATATCAACCCTGAATCACACATTAAGGTCGCAAGAATGAAGAAAAATGATCACCAACTGAAGAAGCTCTGGATTGTTAAAAAATTCCCCTTATCAGCACCTTCAGAAATTTATAGAGAACTGAAAGGAGAATATGCATACTGATGTTTAGGTTGTAAAAAAGTGTAAGAGTAAATGAAAGCACTGGGTTTTATAGAATTTCAACCCAATGTATTGTGTACCAACTGATATTAATAGTAGATTAATCTGTATTGAAACCTACCCAACAGTTTACTGATAAATGGTCTTGTCTTAAATGGTTCAAAATCATCAATATGTTCCCCAGTACCGATAAAAATGATGGGACTCTTGGTGGCAGCCACTCTGTCATGACAAAAAAACTACAATTTATATCGAACAAAACTGAGTGGAGTGCTGGGAGAAAAATATGTGGCAATGTGAATTTTAAGACAATTTATGGTGATTTTTACAAAAGTAGAACGTAAGATAGACCTGAAATAGATTGATAGTAGTATTTACAAATTGCAGTGACTGATGTTCTGACAAACAGACCAAAGGTCATCACAAGAGTAATGGCTGAATCACAGCCAGAAGTGTTTTTTGTTTTGTTTTGTTTTGTTTTGTTTTTAAAGTTTAGTTAATATTAGTAACAAATCAAGCAAATAAATGATCCTCACAGGTGAACTTCCAGAGAGGAGGCACCAATTTGAATCCTGTAATTTAAGCCTGAATTTTTTCAGACTTCTTTCCTGCAACTACAAAAGATTCATGCCACTTGCAAGGATCATTTCTATGCTTGATTTTCATCCATAGGTCAAACGGCATTTAATTCATTACAAGGTGTTATCGGTAACAAAGAGAAAAATTTGGTTGCAGATTGAAAAAAAAAAAACCTTTGACTCAAGACAAGAAGGGAAGGTAAGACCTTCATTCCCAAAAAGACAGACTGGTAATACTTACGCACTCAATGCACCACCACCTTTTGCATGGCCATCCAACTTAGTAACAATAACTGAAGCAACATCGACTTTCTCTTTGAATGCCTTTGCCTAAAAAAGTAAATAACACAGAAATTAAAGTAAACCACCTTTGAGGCTTGCAGCAATATATGCTAAAAGAAATTCCAATGAATGAGGATAAAACATAACTAGAGGCTGATTCATCATATTTACCTGTGCCTCACAAGCCTGTCCAATCGTGGCATCCATTACAAATATAACATTGTCTGGGTCCTGTGTGGGACAAAAAATAAAAAAAGAAAAGTCAATATGTTTGTTGTACAAATCCTTACTTTCCAAATACAGCAATTTGTTCTGAAGACAAGCACAATGAAGTAAGCACTTACAACAGCATTAGACACTTGCAGCATTTCCTCGAACAGTGATTCTTCTTGTTTGTGTCTTCCACTAGAGAAGAAAATGTCAAATTGAATGTGAATTGACTAATCATCACACATAGACTGCAGATCCTTAGAGTAGCAGTAAATTAAAGGGTGCATGTAGAATATATGCATTGTAAAGGCAAAACATCAAATGTGATGTAAGCAAAAAGCATAGTCAGGGTTTTCAGTAAGTGCTGGCAACTTGCAACATTTGCGGTCTATTTCTGATCAGAGGTTCTTCCTATTCACAATGATTAAGATATTAACCCAGATTTTACTATTACAGCTGATGAAGCTTTTGGTCCAAGAATAAGTTTGAGCTTTAAATCCACCACAATTTATTCTTGATAACAAAAGAAACTTGCCAGAATTCTGAGAAAATCACTCCTAAGATCTCTGAAACTCTGGGAATGAGGTTGATCCAGGAGTAATTTCAGTAGCTATCAATTTTCTTTGTTTTTGTTCTTTGTTTGAAAATTTTGTGTTTAGCAGCCTTTTATTTACACTGATAATTCTTCTCTGCCTGCTCTTAAACCTCTTCATCCAACTCTCATCCTTTTTAAAAACTCTTATACTGTTAGCTGAATTTTGTCCATAGTACTGCTATCTCTCTGATGATACCATAATCTCTTTCTCTTTTTTAAGCCCTTTACATCCTAACATCAGAATGCATATTCTCCAGACTACTCCCTAGACATTTCCTAAGGTTCTGACGAGGAGAATTTGTTCAACAATCAAGAGCTTCTTTAGATGATGATCATTTCCTTTATTCTCATGACCTTAATGTTTGATTCAGGAGTGATGCTGTAAGGAGAAATTACATGTTAGTCACTCTTAGAGGTTTAGGGTTAATACTACACTCACCTTGTATCTACAATGATTATCTCAAAGTTCTCTTGTTTAAATTTATCAACCCCTTCTTGAGCAATAACAACAGGGTCCATTTCTGTGTAACTAGAAGAAAAAAAATGATCATGGTAACATTGGAATTCATTACCGACCATAAACATTTATTGGGAGCTACCTTCAGTACATTTTATACAACTTGGCAGTTCTTACCTCCCATAAAATGGTATTCTTGCTTTAGTAGCATTCTGTTTGAGTTGGTCAAAAGCACCTGAAGAAAGAAAATCAGACAGAGTACTTAAAACAAGAGGCCTTGGCAAACACAGAGCATCTGACACACTCAGGTGTTCCTTACTTTTTCATTCCCAGAAGTGATTGACCTGTAACTTCTCCTTGCAATTCTGATGAGTTATCTTGTAAAAAAGTTATAAGAACAGAAAAGCTAATCACCGGGAGTTTCCTATTTTGTAATAGGACCAAATTCTCATGTCTAATTTACAAGGAAAAGTATAGCAGTAAGTAAGGAGAATTACTACATGGATCTTGACAGTAAAAAGGTTTGAGGATGTACTTCTAAATAAGATATTCTATAATTCTTAATAAATGAGATTGAGCACATTCTCATAGTTACCTGTCTAGAGAGTAATTATACAGGTACTGTACTTTTAAAAATATGAGTTTCTTTGTTGCCATGTCTTACCTGCACGAAATGTATCTGCACAGATTAGGCAAGTCTTCCATCCTTTGCGCTGATAGTAATATGCTAGCTGTATGAAAAGTAAAAACAACATAAAGTGAAATTCATTGTGCAAATGAAAGCCAACTTCAAAACTTGATGAGTATAAATGGATGAGGAGAACCAACCTTACTGCATGTTGTTGTCTTTCCACTTCCTTGCAGACCAACAAACATGATTACATTTTGTTTTCCCTTGCTTGGATTCCACTGTTTAACACCAGGATCAACAAGCTGTTCAAAGGTGGACAAAAAAATGTTTACCTTACTATGATTATGGTTTAATGTCCACTATTCTAAAGAGCTGGGGAGCTTAATTACTTTTGACCCACTGACAGTGACAGGAAGGCAAACAAATTCACCTTGTTCTTTTACAAGGGATGGATACAAAATGTATAAAGTTATGAAATGCACATGCAAAGCTTTAGTTTCACAATTTACAATCTTGTCACCATCATCATTGCAGTTTTCTTTAGTCCCAACTAAAAGTTTTTGAAAGGCCTTACTCTTGAAAAAAAAAACCCAAACAAACAGAAAAAAACAAGTAAACAAACATTGAATTTTTAGGTGATATAGCATTTTAAAGTTAATAAAATGTCTTATGTTAGCCAAAGTGATCAAAAGAACACCTTTACAATTAGATACTTTTCTACCAAAATAAGAAAAGTAAAAAAAAGCCAAACTGTTACAGACCTTGCACAGCTCCTGGAATACAGCATGTTGAATCATCCTTCTTTTGTTTAAACCACCAGCCATGTCGTCAAAATCAATAGCAGATCTAAACAAGGAGTACAGGGCAGAGACATAATTTAAAGTTACTGGTTAAATAATATATAGATTTAGCCAAGTCTAAAAGCAGAGCTTTTTTTTTTTTTTTCCCACACGTCTTAAGGGCACAACGCCAGGACTAGAACCCGGGTTGTCCAACTTGGAGCTCAGTGCACTGACCACTAGACTACTGGAAAAAGCCGTGGCATTGGTGCGCTTGCAGTACAGTTGACCACACATGTTAAGAGTAGCATCTTGTACGGTTGGTCGTACGGTCGTAAAGTCATTAGTCCAAATTTTTTCGGCTTGATGGGTTACTACTATTTTGTATAATTATAGGGCTACACTCTGCGAGCTCTGCTATTATGGTATCTAACACTTATTGATTATTATCAAAACTATAATAAAATTCTTTAATGTGATTGGTTATCACCAGTCCAATTTGAGCACTAAAAGGACAGTGTATGTGCCATGCTTGGAATTGGACAGTGCATGCATCATGTTTAATATGTACATGTAATTTCACAAAAGTAGTGTGCATGCCTCCTTGCTGCAAATTTTGCTGAGCTAAGTATTGCTGTTGTTTTTTTTAATAAGAAAATAAAAAGCCAGCCGTAAAGATTATTCCTAAAATTTTGATTAATTGGTAAAAGGACTTTGTGCTGTCCCATTAACAAATTGGACTCACCCTTTGTTGCTGTCAGTTTTTGTTAATCACTACTTTATTACAGACTCAATTGGACTCCTCTAAGGCCTATTACCAATGTAAGTTCTGAGTACGAAATTTTTTTGTGTTGGATTCTTTGTGTGTTTGAAATTCATTATTTAAGTCTTCTCACCCTGTAACAAGGAAACATTATATACTTATTGTTTCATTAGCACCTTTTTTGTCATTTTATTGCCACTTTATTGCTACCTTATTGCTACTTTGCATAATTTATCCATATGAATGTAGCAGCAATATGCTTGTGTACTTCTTTTTTGGGCGCCTGGCACAGGTCAGTGATGTACCATTAGTTTCACTTGTCCTTTTTTTAAAATTTATTTTTTGGCTAAGCAGTTTTGCAATTGCAGTATCAGTCTTAGTCTTTTCTGTGGCTGTAACAATGTAAGTGTTTCACAGTCCTCTTTCTGCCATGTTTTTTGTTATTTCTTTATATCATGTATTGTGTAACTTTTGTAATTGTTTGTTATTTTAGTTTCAACCTACATCAGTTACGCTGTTGAGGAATTTTATTTCATTTATTTAAAAACTCCATGTCATTTCCATGACATGGAGTTTTTTATTCCATTGCCACAAATGTCATGTAGTGCAGTTTAAACTAATTTAATGAGAAATTCACTTTACCTAACATTTTCTCTGAGTTTCTTCACAAGCTGGACATTGACATCAGCTTCTAGTAGAGCTGCACAGATCTCTTTGAGCATAGCACCAAGGACCTGTTGATTATAAAAAATCAATGCTCTGACCCTTTGACTCCCAGGATCTTATAAGTAATTCTCCTTACTGTCTGATGTACAATTCGTATGATGTGAGTTAAGAGAATTTGTAATTGGATCAACTAATAATCCCCTAATTGATATTTTTCTTTGTTCTTATCACTTGTTTGCTTGATATTATACTGATCGTGTAAGGAGAAATTCTGTCTAGGTTACTAGTGGGACTTAATGGGTTAAATCCACACTAAAATCATTGACCCTTTAACTGCCATGAGTGACCAGAACAGAATTTCTCCTAATTAAAAATATTGATTAGGTGATTATTTGTTGATCCAATACCAAACTCTTAGAACTAACATTATAAGAGATGTGTAGCAGACAGTTGGGAAAATTGCTATTGAGATCTAAGGTATGAACGGGCTAACAGAATAGAATTTTGGTGGTCAACACCAAGTTAACATATGTACTCATCATACCTAAAACTCGGCACCCTTAATATCTTCCTGTACTAATTAATGCATGAGTGATTTACTCCTCCATAAAATTGGACCGGTACAAGTGAAGAAAAAAAAGTCAAACGGATGCAGGTATGCGCTAAGGATTTAGTGTTACACTTCCCGAATCAACTTTGCATATTCTTTCGTCTTAAAACATAAGAGGCTTTCAATTTTCGGTTCCAATTTGTCATGAATTTCAAACTTAAACACACATCAACAAGAAGATACATCGCATTCAGATGACAGGGATGATTTTATCAATTTCTTGTCCTGATCTTAGTAGGACTTATGTCAAAATCTGCCTTCAGGCCCGAAATTTTGGCTGCTACTACCAACACTATAGAGAGCCTTAAATAATGAACAGGAATCTCGTGATTACATGTGAGTGCATCATCCAGGTAATTTCTCTTACCTCTTCATTGATGATGGTTGCATTGCTCAAGGAGCGGAGCGCTGTGGTGATTTTCCGTCCTAAATCCGCGAGAACCATTTTGAAGAGATAAGGTATCTAACAGTACCTTTTTTTAAATCGTCAACAGACACAAGAACACGAAATTGGGCCCAATTTGAACTTATATCAACGTAGTGCTGGTCGCCATCTTTTGTTCCTTGTTTATTCTCGAGTACAGCGGTTATTAACATAACGATAACGATACGTCACAAGTCCCCTTTCCTCCTCGGACAAAACAGCTGTAGGAAAAGCAGTAGCTTGGCACTAGTAAACATGGCATCCATTTCTTCAAGTTGTGCATTTTGTTCTACAGGAAACACAAATTTATCAAAGTGTTCTAGGTGTAGATCTGTAGTCTACTGCAGTAAGGATTGCCAAAAGTCGCACTGGAAAGCTCACAAGCCAAATTGCAAACCGCCTCTCAAAACAGTACCAGCTAAGGAGAAACCGAAGTTTCCACAGCCTGACAGAAAAGATTTGGAAAGCATTGCAAGATTTGCATGTAGCGCTTTGAAAGAAACGTATTTCAGCGTCATCGACAACGTTTTTGAGGACGAGAAAGCACTGGATATTTTTAACGAGGTGATACAGTTGCATAACTCAGGTGTTTTTCAAGACGGGCAACTCAGCGGTGGTAACACGGCCTCCGATAAAGAGCAGAAATTCACTGAGACTAGGATTCGAGGGGACAAAATTACTTGGTTAGAGGGCAACGAAAAACATGCGCCAAATATCGTGAAACTCATAGATTTTGTGGACACATTAGTGATACATTGCAATAATCTTCCCGATGGGATACAAGAGTATCGCATTGAGGGACGCGCCAAGGCTATGGTGGCATGTTACCCTGGTAACGGAACGGGGTACTCACGGCATGTTGACAATCCGGACGGGGATGGGAGGTGTCTCACCGTCATCTACTATCTCAACCAGGGGTGGGGTGAGGAAAATGGGGGTAAGTTAAGGATTTACAGGAGAGATGGCCATGTTGATGTGGAACCATTTCTCAATAGATTGCTAATGTTTTGGTCGGATAAGCGCAATCCACACGAGGTATTACCCGCTTATAGCACAAGGTATGCTATAACTATTTGGTATTTTGATGCTGAGGAGAGACGGAGAGCAAAGCAGCTTCACCAATACAACGTTATGGGTGGTTTAGAAGCAGAATTTGCTTTGAGAGATGTGGAGGCCAAGAGGAAAGAGAGAGACTTGGCTGAGGCGAAGCTAAGGGAAGAATCAGAGAAAATGGTGAAGAATTTGTTGTCTGAACAAGACTTAGAAGCGCTTTCTGGGCTAATTAAACACCATCCTAATCCGTATGAAGTGCTTGGTGGTCTGGGAATACATCAGAGTGTACGAGAAGCTGTGCTGAAGCTGCTGAAAGAACGTTGAGTAAACGTGACTTTCGGTTTTGCAGGGACGAGTTGCTGGCTCTCTTGCTGTCACGCAACGCTGTGGCGGTACCTGAGAAAGCAGTGCATGTGCATACTCTGGAAATTTCCAAACCACGCTTTTAGGCTAGAAAAAAAATGATTGAAGCTGAGTTAAAATTAGGTTCCTACGCTCAAAAAAATATCCTGCGCTCCAGAAAACTGTAAAAAGGCAGTGAGCAAGCTAAAGAGGAGAGATTAGAATTGGCTGTTTGAAAAAAGTCAAAGAAAGTGGAAAACAATAGAAGGTATTGACTAATATGCACTTCAGATAAAAAAAATTATAATAAAAAAAAAACTTTAAGACTTGTGAATAACACTGTGTAACGTGAAGCATTTTGTTCCCAAATATATTTTTTAGTGTCAGGCCAGAAAGTTTTACCATCTTTTTCCGGGGTGGAATGGGAAAGGTTAAGTGCGAGAGGAGAATGCAGCTCAAACTCACACCGTTTACGAAGTCGTCAAAGAAAATTAATTAGTGCATATAAACCGCAGTAATTATGATAATCTATTCGATGTAATCCTCTCTGTAAAGCGTAGTTAAACATAATGCCTGGTTTTAACCAGATTATTCGTTATCTTGTTTTAATAATTATCATCCTCAACTTAATTTTCTTCATCAGTTAGCTCTGTCTCGTGAGAATCACAAAGAAGTACTTCAATTTCTTGTAGAGCAACACGCGAGCCGGGCATCGCTCGGCCTGACAAAAACTCTTTGCACTTTTTTGCTGCTGATTTTCCTTGCAAAGCTTTAAACAGAAAACAAGCTTGTTCTTCAGTAATTGTCCCGCACTTTTCGCGGTCCAGCATTTCAAATTCCCACTCCACATCGCGTATTAGAAAACTGCGGCGGTCAATTTCGTTGAGTACGTCCAAAACTTCTTCCTTAAAACATAGGTCGCAGAAACAGACTGCCTGTATCGCCGCTTGTACCTGACGCAGGCTTATTGAGTTTTCAGGTCGAAGGTTATGATACAGTTTCTGTATTTCTGTGGCGGTAATTTCGTCCAATATTTTCCCTTCATTTTCCAAGTAAGTCGACAACAAGCTTTCAAATTTTTCGTCGTGCGAAGAAACAGCCATAATTTACTCTACTTGCCTCGCTGTGAGGAATATTCGAACTTATAGTTCTGTAGTGAAGAAAACACCTGTATTTGTTTGTCTTTGGATTCAAACCTGGCTCAGTAATTTAAGTGTTAAGCGTTTTTCGAACGTAAATGAGTTTATCAAAGCTTAAGAAGCCATCACCTATCCTCAACTTGATAGCGTATCGATGCGTTTTTTTGTTTCTCTTGTAAGATATATCATCAAGTTTCTTTATGACACGTACGGTTTAGTAATTTGAATAAATAAGCTCTCATTAGTTTTGGCAGGGGCTGATGGAGTTACAATATTTATAAAGCAAACATCTGCCTTTTTTAATTGTTCAGTGACAACACACCAACCAGATATAGAATCGTTCAAGCCAGTAGTTAGCGCATCGCATCGAGTCATTTACACATTTTAATAAGGAGAGCAATTTACAACTCCATCTCGTTTTACATATTTCATTTAAAATTCCATGTTGCAGCGAAATAATCAATTTTGGGATTACTTTCTCCGTAGGTATGAGAAAGTCAAGAAAAAAATAATCGTAAGGTTTTTCATCGCTCCAATATTGCCCGTAAAAATGTGTCAATTTGACAGTGACAGGTTCAGTTTAGGTGATGAAACTTTGGTAAAAAGAAAATGCCAGAAAAATATTTCCTATCCGGTCGAGAGCTTTCCAAAAGTTTTGTCATGCGCAAAAAACATAATTAATTATAACACCTTTCCAAAACCTGCGACTAAATTGGGTTCAAACGAGAAAAATTATATCCTCTTGTTTTTTCTTGGCTCAAAGTGGTAGCGGATCGCTAGTAGTATTTTTTCACTCTTAAAAAATCTTTAAAAAATTTTGTGACGGTCAGAGTTTTCGTTTAGTTAAAGCCGGGGAATCATGGCTCCCTCTAAAAGATCTTTAAACTTCGTCAAAACTTGCTTTGTCAGAGAGAAGCGAGAACGAGTTTACAGGTTTTTGTTTTTAAGTTATTGACACATGCACAAAGTAAGGGAGTGTAGGGAAATTGTCGAGGAAGCTACTCACAAAGAAATGAGTTCTTAGCATCATGAAATAATACTTACGTTGTCTTTTCTCGAAGAAGAATAATTTCACCCGTTGGGGATTGGCCTGCGTAATTTTTGTATTTCCCCACCCCTCCCCTCTCTTTCCATTTGACCGTTGCTTGCCCTTTTGGTACAAATTTCTTTCTCTCCTCAGCCTTCCGCTGGTGTAAAAAATCAAAGATGGCAGCCTTAGTTTTCACCAGGAACATACTGAGCACTTTTTCACCAAAATTACACCTGCTCTATGGGCTAGGTGAACATTAAAATACCGTATTCATTCCTTCAAGCTCCTGGGCGCTAATTTCAAATTTTGGACCTTGAAAGACGGCTCTTATCTGAGTCTGGCGCTTATTTAATGTACACCATTCCAGCGAGTGAAAAGCTTGTTTAAGAAAAACAAAAAGTAAAAAAAATAATAACAAGAAGTGAAGATATGTACCACAGTGATTCCTTTTGTGCACTTCGGTTTGTTTGTTTGTTTGTATTTTTTTTAGAGGGGGGGGGGCGGGTTTGAACAATTATTAAATTTTTGTACTTACAGGGTGGGTGCTCATTTGAGGTTGGGCGCCTGATCGAACCAACTCTTAATGAACAAAAATAAAAGTCTTAAGCACATATTTTTATTATCATAACTTTAAAGAAGGGTTTATTCTAAAATGTGAGATCACTATACTCACTTTCCTTAAATTACGTTTATATGACTCACCGATCAAGTTTACCATTTGACGATCAACTTTAAATATTCTCTAGTTAAAAGGATATTTTAAGTCACCAGCGTGTTGGTAAAATATGCGAATTACGAAGAGGAAATTCGAACACTATTTACAATGTGTCGTAGTTTTCGAACAAAGATTATGACTCGACAGATAACAAAATACTTGTCCAAAGGTAATCTGTTAGAGTTTAAGACGCTTCAAGAAAGAAGCTTGATTTTAAATGTCCGAAAAGTTGTAGTAACTATTGAATCCATGCGGTACGAAAAATACACCTACAGCTTTTAAAATAACCGGCAATGCCATATTTCGGTTCAAAGCAGTAAACTTGTAAATTGTGTGACAGTCACGCTCTCTGCTGTCACGCAACATTCGCGATTGCAAGTGAAAACCCTAAAATTGACATGCCTTTTCCTTCTGTTGGAATCTCCTCACGTTGGTCGCCTCGTACACCTTCTCTACTCCACTGGATTGAGTCGTCATATTAATACTTTACGTATGACGGCCCGTACTGTTGCAGGTCATCAAACACTGCACCGACCTCTTATCAAAAACTTCCTCGACTGGAATTTGAGGAACTAACTGAAATTGGTTTTCTACTTTTTCCAGCAGCAGTTTTGTCACTCCTACAAAAAGGAAAAGTAGAAATGCTGAGTCCTTTTGGTTACAAAACTAAATTAACATAATATTTTCATTAATTTTTTTGTAAAGAAAAAAATTCTTCTTTCAAAATAAGTTTAGAGTTTAATAAAGTTTTTTTTTTCATAAACGTACGTCTTTTCCTTAGTTGTTTTAGACGCCGTTTTCACGCCACTCGTCGAGGCGTGAGAAGCGCCGCGAGCTGAAGGGTTACCACTTGTATTTGGAGACCCTTTCCAGGCCCCGGCGGATGTTGAACTTGTGCTTGATCCGGTTGTGCTGGGGAGGGCTGACGAAAGGCTAGGAAGTCTTTGAAGACTAGACGACGGTGAACCCTTTGATCCAGGATTTCTTTGTGGTGCTATCTTCTGGCTTGTTTTAGCCGCACCAGTTGAAGCTGTAAACAATAGCAGGAAACAAAGACAGTGAAACTGACAGCAATCATTATGGGTCATGTTTGGACTTAACCATCACCTTTCAAACAATTCTTCACTATGTGACGCACAATGGGAGCAAAAGTACGGAAAACGGTCACCTTCCAGAAGCGCGGTAAAACGCTGGTGACCAACACGCGATTGCTTTAAAATTTGCACCTGACTGGTTGAAAAGTTGGCGCGACTTTCAAGGCCAATCACAAAGCACTCTTAGACAGGAGAAAAATCATCTTAAACTTGGTTGTAATTTTCTGTGAGTTTTTAGTCTACTTACTGGATCCAGAGTTAGAAGGCGTTCGCTTGAGTGATGGATGACCTTCAGGCTTGCTTGCTTTCCCTTTCGCCGCAACAACTGTAAAATCGTCAGAGGTAAATGTCAACAGAGAAGTTTTATTTACCAAGGAGAACAGGGAAGTAATAAATAAAACATTGAATTCAGAGCGAAGCTTTGATATAATCTGATACGATTTCAACGTACTGAGCGGAAAGTATTTCAGTCGTTTGTATATTTGTCATGTATTTCAAACTCTGAGCGACAAGTTGTCGCGGAAACAATGAGAAATAACTTTAGCGTATTTCAGATACCGGGGTTTCAGGTATCCAGAGAAACATAATCCTTCAGAGAGGAGAAAGGCCCAAAAGTGAAAGCGCATGACTCTTGTCACTGCACCATTCTCGCACGGCGCTGGCTGCCAAGTTTTCCCGCCAAAACAGCATGTCAAGCGCGCTTGTTTTTCTCACCAATCTAGAGATACCTTATGACACAGTTTCTAAAGGAAGGTCTTACTTTTTCTCTTTTCATCTTTGCTGCCTTTCTTTCTGGGATCCGAAACCTTATTTGCCCCAGCAAGTTCCTCTCTCTCTTTCTCCTCCTACAGACGATAAAACAAGGATTTCAAAACCTTTACCATAAGCAGAGCGATGGTATTACAAGTGGTGGTGCTCGAAAAGAGGCCGTGAGGCGAAACCCTACCGCGAGCCCTGCTGGCAGGCTAAACAGACGTAATCCTCTCGTTAAGCCTGGGTGCCTTTGGGGAAAAGGGTGATAAATATGTTTATATATATATTTAAAGAAATAAAAATGATAGACGAGGCGGCGGTAGACTGCTGGTAGAGGGCTGTAATTTAAACCCATGATCAAACTGGGATTACTGGCATCTTCCTCTGCGAATCGATACAATGCAGGAAACAAAAGAAAATAATTTCATCATAGAGATAATTCTTTACCATGACTATTAAAAGTCTTTCTTCCTCCTCCTTCTGTTGATCTATCTTGTCATCTTCGTACTTTGTTTTATCCAACTTCATGAACGCCTTGAAGTAAAGAACAAATGCAAGGAATGTGTAACAGCTAGAGGGGAGAATTAACAATTAGATCCTGAGAGTAACGATAAGACCATACCTCTCTGACTGCATTGCAAACATCAGGCTCCTTTTCATTGCTCAGTAGATTTCTGATACACTGCTCCAGTTGTTGTAACAAATGTCTGTCTGACGGTAACTTTAACAACGATTTAAGGCGCGGAGGAACTGTACAGAACTTTAATCTTACATTTAACACAGGGTCCTACAAAACAAAAAGAGTGATGAGTTTTAAACCTTACAAAAGAACGCTGTTCTGATATATTACTTTGAAACCGGGTTTCAAACGCAATAAATTCCCAGTTTTCGCTTAAGCTATACGAGTTCTTCTTAGAAGTTGATGAATGTTGCAAAGCTTGTTTTAAGAACTGCTACGTTCAAAGCTCCAACTTGTAAATTAAGGTTTTGTTTTTGATCTGTTTAATTCAAATGCATGGCAGAGGGAATTTAGAGAGTTTAGCGAAGCAATAACTGTCTCCAGAGAAAATCACCTACATCGTTACCAGCGTCCTTTTCGAAATAAATTAATCAAATAAACAGGTTTTTCCACAGAAAAGTAAAATAAAGCACCACACTACTGAAAGATTAACCTGTTCCAAGCGTAAACAATGCGTTAGTGACGGAACAGTGAAAAGGAGGGAGGTATGAGTCGGGTGGCGTTTAGGAAGGGGTATCAGTAACCCGACCCAATCCTCCCTCCTTAACGTAAACTGAGCCTATCACAATGAGGGAGGTTTGGAACGGGTCGCATAATAGAGGGAGTTTTGGTGACCCGTCCCTAACCTCTCTCCTTAACGCAACCTGACCCTGTCGCAATGAGGGAGGTTTGGAACGGGTCGCATAATAGAGGGAGTATCGGTAACCCGTCCCATGCCTCCCTCCTTAACGCAACCTGACCCTGTCACAGTGGGGGAAGTTTGGGTCGGGTCGTGTTAAGGAGGGAGTATTGGTGACCCGTCCCAAATCTCCTTCTTTTACGCGACCTGACTATTTAGCTCCATTTTAAAAAGTGAACGCCTGAAATAGGCTATTGAAAGGTCTAAGTGCAACAGAAAAATATTAAATACTCACCGAGCCCAATTCTAATAAAAATTCGAAGAAATTCTCCTTGAAAAATCGACGCGAAAATAATTCCATTATAAACTTGCAAATATCTATGAATAATAGTCTACTTCTGTAGCTTTTTCCTCTTCCACATTCTAAAAAAATAAAGAAGAGACAAAATAATTAAAACTTGGAAAAGTGCACAGCAGCATTGGAGCGCTTTTCGATCGAGTGTCGTTAGGACAAAACCGAAGTAATCACAACAACCAATCAGAACAAAGAAAAATATCACAAAGAGCCAATGAGAACTCGAAGTAAAAACAAGAAAACCGCCAAAAGCGCGGGAAAACGCGGGTGACCAAGCGCGTTGGTTTAATTATCAAGAAACTTCTTTAATCAGTAACATGATGCACAACCGAAACGCTGAGGTCGCAATTTTCAACTAAAGTACTCCGGGAATTCATTGGTTTTGCTCTACCTCGCTCTGCGATTGTGAATAGTCTTGAAAACTCACGTCACTCTTTCAACCAATCAGATGAAAACATTGGCTCACGACATGAAGAGCGCTCAAGGGCGAGAATAAGTTTTCTGACAGCGTTACCTTGTATAAGTCTACAGCACAATTCTTGTCTTTGCTCAAATCTTCTGTTGTGTCGTATGAAAACACACAGTGTGTGCGCAGCCGCTGACTTGACCGGTAAAACACGCTAGAAGAAAAAAAAGAGAAATGCATTTAAAAGGCAAGAAGATACAGATAAGTAAAAAAATATGTACGAAGATGAGTGCATGTCGACACAAACGCGCACCCTTTACACCCTAACATCAGTATCCACATTCTCCTCACTGTTCTCTATACATTTCATTCAGAAGCTGACAAGGAGAATTTGTTTAACAATCAAGAGAATGTTTAGTTGGTGATCATTTTCTTTATTCTCATGATCTTGATGAATGATTCAGCCGTATTACTCTAAGGAGAAATTAGATGTTGGTCACTCAGAGGGTTGAAGGGGTTGAACAAAACCACAGCCAAGTAACACTGAACAATAAAACTTACATTTGACGATAATAATCTGAAGAACAGCGGCACAAATTTGTAGTATATTTGATCTGAGGTCAAACACTTGGGAAAACATGAAAACTTCTCTAATAGTTGTACATGGAGGCGCCAGTTACTTGAAGAATCCACAGCGAGTTCACACGCGATCAGCGATGGTATAAGGTTTGACAAATTATTAAGCTGTAAAATGAGAGAAAATCTTTAGACGATTTCAGTGCGGTACATCAGTCTTCATGTTTCTGTTCATGAGGCACTGTCAACGCGAGAATATACATTTGAAACCATAAGGAGAAACCAAGATAAGATAAACTGCAGATAATCTCTTGGGGACACGTAATGTTTTGTTTGTTGCATGGATATAAATGAGATATTTACATCAAAGAGGATTAAAATACTTTACTGGAGCGCTAAATGCAGAGATCTTCTGCACGAAACTTAACTTGCATTAACTTCGACTTCAGACAAAAAAAAAAAAAAAACAAGTTTTGTTCCTATAACCACTGAGAGAAAAATTAAATTCGACTATCGTAAACTTCCGCTATAGAAAAATAACCCTAAAAGTGAACATTAAACCACCATGTTGATAAACCCACGTACGCTGACAATATTTTTGTTTTCAAAAGAGAAGTTATAAATTATGTTTTCACTTCGTGCGACGAATACATCTTGTGTTAGAAACAGAGGAAATTCTGGTGTTTTACTAATATCGATAAAACAAATATCAAAATCATATAGTTATCATTTACCTTGGTATCTGCAAGAGTCGAATGTCCTCCGCTAGCTAAACATTCTAAACTTTGTGGTAAACTTGGGATAAGACCTTCTAATACCTAGAAAAAAAATTAAATTAACTGTAATAAGAATAACAATAAATAACATTTTACGTTAAATAAGTCAAGAGGCAAACTAGCTTTTCAATAACATCAGTCTCTCACCTCTATAGATTCATCCTTTAATAATATACTTAAATCTTGTTGAATTGATCCAACATTTGTCCCTAAAAGTTTCGCCACCTAGAGTGAGGAAAAGAAAACACGTTGGTTAAAGCCTCTCACTTGATTTTTCCGTCAAATTTTTTGGTAAACAAGGATTTCTCTTCAATAAATTTTCAACGGTACGACTCTTGAAACATTCTTTCGTAACTAAAAATTAACTCTTCAAACCGCAGACCTTCGGATTCCGCGCTTCGATGCTTTACACTGGGCTTCAGGGAGAAAGGGAGATTTCTTACCAACTGCACTGCACACTCAGTTTTCAACTTCCAAAGAAGTCTGACTTTTTCTTTACCTCATGAAATCCACATGCTATAGTTCGTCTGACCAGCGCATGAGGATCTTCCACAAGCGAGTGAAATGTGGCAGCTAACTCACTCTGAAAACCAGCTGCACCACAGAACAGAAGCATGGCCTGGGGGGTAAAGAAATATAAACATATTCTAGTTCTAACCTTTTACACTCCAACATCAACATGCATATTCTCCGTACTGTTCTTAATATATTTCTTAAGGCAATGACAAGGAGAATTTAGTCAAAAATTAAGAGCTGTTCAAGTTTGCAATCACTTCCTCAATTCTCATGAGCATTTTTTGTTGGATTCAGTAGTGATATCTTAGGGAGAAATTAGATGCTAGTCACCCTCAGGGATTAAAACGTTAAAAGAGGGTCTGAATAATTCAACAACTTAATAAATCAGAAGTTGATTGTTTGGTCACAGTAATTGTCAGTGTTACTTAATCCTTTAACTTCCTAAATCTGATTATTTATTCTCCCCTCTAGCTGCTACACATTTCTTTGTGAATTAGTTATGAGAATTTTGTGTCATATCAAGATAGAAACTTCTATCAGATAGGTTCGAGCATTCTCATTACTTGTTTGCAAGATGGTGTATGCAAATTATAAGGAGAAGTTACATGTTCATCGCCTCTGGGAGTTAATGGGTTAAGATGCAATTCAATCCTCATACCGGAAAGTTAAAAGCGCAGCATCTTCGGCATTCAGCTTCTGGATCATCTTCAATAGTAGCACCAGATAAAACAGAGCTCTGAAATAACAGAAAGAGGATTTTAATACCCTTTTAAAGGTACTGGTCAGGAGCAATACTAGATGCACTCTGGAATCGCACACACAAAGGAAGGTAGTAACCGAATCTACTTGGCACAAATGATTAATTGATCTTAACAGGTTGATTGCAATTACTGTAACTCCAGAGAAAGAGTTCAGAAAAAATCCAGATTTCAAAATGGATTGAATGAATGGCATCCATGGATCAAAGTTGGTATCTGTGCAACTGAGTACCTACCCCTCCCCTAAGCCAATAACAGTAAACTGATAACAAGTTAGGGTTAATTTTGGGTTTGGGGAGGGGTAGGTGAACAGTTCCTAAATGGGCACTACTTTGAACTGAACCACAAGGTCAAATGTTGGGAGCAAGGTATTCACCAAGTCATTTGTTCCTCATTAAGGAGTCTTTGTACCAGGAAACCTAGAGGCGCCTACCACAATAGGTGGAACTAAACAAACAATTCTATATTTATTGTAGCAATGACAAATTCCTGTTGCTCAACTGTCCAGAAGCTGCACCAAGCTGACATCAGTGAAAGCCTAATGGGTTCCAGTGTAATACAAGTTCTGCCTGTTTTCCAAACACTGCCACAAGGTAATTTTTTAAAATACCAAAACAAACCCCAAAATTAATTTTCTTTCGACACCTAAAACCAAAGAGGAATCTATAGGGATTTACTTACCTGGAGTGCCAGTGTCACACTTCCTACTCTGTTATTTTTGTTTGGATTGCCACAGTAGCACATCTTTTTTGTAAAACTCAAGAACCACTTCCTTTTAGTCTCACTAAGGTTAACTGAGGTCAACAGAAAAAAAAAAAAATGGTCAAAACTGACTAGCCTCACCCTCTGTTAAAGCCAAAGATTTCCTGGTTGCCATAACTTGAGACAACAAGGAGCCTCAACACTTTTTTCAAGAGCTCAATAAGTGTTTACTGGATAAAATTTTTACTTACTTGATAACCCATGGGAAAGTTTTCCAAACAACTGTGCCACTGTGAGGAGAGACTCTGAACACTGCTTGGGAATTTCATCACAGAACTTTTGGACCAAAGGAATGATGACTGATGTGCAAGTATCTGTGAAAATATAACATTTCATGGCTTAGAAACTACACAACAACACAACAGCAACAACAACAACAACAACTTTATTTGTACACTACACTAGTCAAATATTTATTGCTTTTAAGTAAATTCTTGACCCAAAAATTTTGTTATTTCTGTAAAGAGGGGGTATTTCCAAGGTTAAAACCTGGGCAGTCTGTTTCTGCAGAGCTGTTAATTATGCTGTTCAAGGTAGTTCCACATGTTACAACTTTTGATGAAACCATGGTGTATGACCATTCAGTTGAAAGCTATTGAGTAGTACTTTCATGTTATTGTCAATTATTTGTCCACCACTTCCTTAAGACCTCTCATGGCTGCTTGTTTAGCCTAAGAGGAAGCTCTTGTGTTTTGCATTATGGCACAGTCAACTGCTGCACCCTCAGCAGCTGGTTATGGAAAGGTTATTGAAACCCCTGTGTTTATTACAGTACCACTCACATATATGTTAACTGCACAGACGCATTTCATAGGCTCAGACGCTTGGGGTAGTCAGATTAGCATATATGATTTTTTGCACACACGGCTGAAAAAAACGCATGAATCAAGTTCCTTTGTTATTCAGTGCTATAAGTTTTGTTTATGTTAGATTTTTGAGTAAAATGAAGAACTTTTAGGTTTGAAAAAGCCATGAGTTGACAGCAGAAAACATTATCAAAACCTGTGTTTACTACTGTATGTTATACAAGGTGATTCTAAATTTTAGTTCTGTCAGTTCAGGGTCTTCCCCAGATGTATAAAATGTTACACTGAGAGTTACCTACAACTCTATAATAAAACAGCAATTTCTTTAAATTCCTACCATCATCAAGAAGACTAAGAAGGTTTGTGATTGTTTCCAGTCCTGCAAGTCTCACACTAGTTTCCTCGTCATTTGTAAGCTCAACCAACTCTGGTATGATAATGCTTTGTGTGCTTTCCAACCTGTGGTGACATAAAAATTTTTAACATCCAATATTTTCAAAACTTTAACATTCATATAGATTCCATGTTGCTGTATGGCTGTTCAGTAACAGACCACAGATAATGGAAAAATGTGGTAAGAACAAATAAAGTGGCACACAGATGCAGGTGAGTACGTCTCTGATGAAGGGGGGTATAAAACACCAAAATTGAAAGCTGTGGGACTGAGAGGGATTTGTCACAAATCAATGACCAACACACTACAGATTATTTAAATTGTAAAGAGGCTTGTAAGTGTGAAAAAAATTTTCAAGGACAATTTGGGGTATTTTTCCCCACTTAGAGTACAATAAGCACTCTTCTCCCCCCTTTCAGGATGTTCTGTGGCCTCTACCTAGAGGATGGATTTAAATAGGACCACAAACAACTACATAATGATGGCACCTTACCCTAGAGCTCTTGCTATACTTTCCAGCTGTTGACACATACAAGCTCTGACCTCGTAATCAACATCTTGACATAGTGATGCTACCAAAGACATTAACTCCTTCTTTATCCTGCAACAAAACAATTTTTATGAACCATGTATCAGGGTTTCAAAACCGTGTTCTGCAGGCTGTTTTGAAATTGTGATTTCCAAAGTCAAATTTTTAGCTCATCTAAAGAATTTTCAAATGGTTTACTAACCCTGCAGAAAGTTACAATTTTTATACACATTTTAGAACTTCAGAGCTAAAATTTACATGGTTCTTAGATCATACTGTACTTCTTCTTTATGGAATAGCTTTTTCCTTAAAAGGTTAAAGAAAAAGTTTGCATCACAGAGTTAAAGAGTCAGACCTTACCAGTAAGTTTCAAACTTTGGTGCAATTTGTCCAAGAAGCTTGCAACTTGCAAGTCTACAATTAACTGATTGAGAGAGTTGACCCTTAGAGATGGCAATACCAAGGACCTGCAAATAAATTGATGCATTTGTAACTTAAAAACTAATTTGTTCTTTTCACTGTTTATTCATATAAGAAGCTGTCCTCTTCCAGAAAATATCAACCATAAAATTTCAGGAGCTCTTTCTGTTTCTCTACGACCATAAATTTTCATAATTAATGACCCTTGTTACTTTTCAGTTTGGCGGCTTTTTGTAACACTTGTTTTGAGGGTCAACTATCTTAAGAGAATAGTAACAACCATGAATCTTCATCATCATTCCTGGAATATTACAATTTAGTATGTTTTGATTTTTATGGTGCTTATTCCAAGGAAAGCTTCTGTGCCATCTTTCAATTTATTTGTAGAGTGAGGTGCCTTATTTATATGAAATAGACCCTGTGATGCACTTGCTTCATTTCTTGAAAGAGACACTGAACATAGTAATGCAGGTTTAAAAAAACCAAAGTATTATCAAAGGTGAAAGAGATTTTATTAATAAATAAGCATCTACCTCTCTTTTTATAACATCTTTTGGAAGGAAATCAATTGATGTCAGGAGGGTTTCAAGCCATGAATTTGCTACCACTGCAATAAAATGATTCATGTATGATTTCATGAGGGTCATAGTCATACATCAAGAGCAAAACTGTCAATAACAGCCAGTAGCTGACCAAAAGTACCAGCCAGTCAGTTACCTTAAGCAAGTTTCTCCCCCCTCCCCCTCAATTTACAATAGGTGCTAGTGAAAAAAAAAATGTACATTGATTCAGCCACTATAGGAAAAATGTGTACCTGGTTACAAGTGAAATTGAATGAATACTTAACAAGTAACTTGTTTATATGTGTACATCAATTGCATGTTCAGAACTCTATCAAAGGTTTGTGTGAGCTTCCTGGAATACCTGAGACATTTTAATTGAATAGTCCCCCAGGTTCCTGTTCTTAGAATGCTCAAAACTTGGTGATTCCACTTTTTTTGACATAGGACGACCAAGCAATGTGCTGAGCTGTTGTTCAGTTCATTAAATCTTTAATTTTGCTATTTTCTCTTTGCTATCACCCTCATAGCTTCCTTACAAATTCTGATTGTAATCTGGAATGTTGATACTCCTTGATATTCACACTGCTTCACAATCCCTATTATACTGATACTTCAACAAGTGTTGTTGAAGTATCAATCTATTTCAAGCCCTTCTATACAATCAATAGATCACCAGCTCCTCTATAGACTAAGGTACTGCAAACTCCAACCTAGAGCACTAAGCATAGTTTACACAGAACCAAAGCACAACTGACTTAATGTTTGCACTCACCGTTGTCTCTGTTGTCAATATTGTGCAGTATGATTGGCAGAAATGAAGAAGAAAACATGTATGCTGGTATTGTTCCATTTTGAATGATGCTTGAAAAAGACTTGGTAGCTTCAAGCTGAACATGGAGGGGAGCAATGTACAGGTACTCCTGCAAAAGTATGGTAAACCCTTTACACCTTAACATCAGTATGAAGATTCTCCATACTGTCCTTTTACCTTTTCTTGTGGTACTGCTAAGGAGAAACTTTTTAATGATCACAAGCTTCATCAGTTGACTTGTGACCTTAATGTTTCATTTAGTTTTGGATTCCAGTCACTCTTGGGGGTGAAAGGATTGGTCTGTTTCCTCAAAATTAGAATTTGCTACAGATTTTGTGGTTGTAATAGGTCAAAATGGACAACAAAATGGTGTGAAAAATATGGGTCACTATCCTTATTTCTGTGGTACAACACATATGAATATGTTTGATTTTCACAAATCCAATTCTGAAAAAAATTGGGCTCTGTTTTTCAAATTTATATCTTTGATATCCTAGTCTCTTTGATATAGGGTTTTTTTTTCACCACATAAATGATCATGTGACTCACCCTAAGAACTGGTACCACTCTTCTATTAACATCAGCACTGTTCTTCTCTAGAAGTTTGGGTAAGTTATTAATGACACTGAGCTTTTGAATTTCCACTCCAGAACTGTAAATAATAATAATGTTGTTTTTATTAGCAAGATTACGTCACCTATTGTAAACATAGTGAGCTGGATAGCCTTCCTTTTTAGTTTTGTTATTATGCATTATGTAACACAGTAACAATTACAATTGATAATATTGTACTCTCAACAAGTGTTGTTAAGTCAATTGATTTTGGAAAATTTATAGGAGAACATGAGGTTTAAACTGAATTTCATATTATTGGCAGATTTACCTGAATGTTGAATGATTGTATTTTTTTTTTTAATTCTGATAGACCAGTTTGTGTATGACAAGATTCTAATTGACTAACATCCATATTCAATATCAGGGAATTTCCTGTAATCATTGTAGTTTTCCATGCTACGCACAATGCATGCATGCAGAGTAGCATGACAAGGCAATTTTGTGAACTAATTAAATATGTGTAATAACAACCGAAAAACATGTCAACTGTGTGTGTAATCTTCAGGGCCTTTATAGATCCCTCAAGCCGACAAATCAACAAAGCACATGCATCTAATTATAAAACCACGCTTCAAGGAACAAAGAGCTGATATATGAGGAGAGATATGGGGTCAAGTTACAAACAATGATAGAACTTCCTGCTCAGGATGTCTGTGTAGTATTTATTCATATTTTCCACAGGAGATCATGAAAATTTCAACACTTATTGATTGTGTAAGAGGCAATTTTAACAGGAACCACCAAATAACACAATAACACATTCAAGATATTGTGCAAAGATTCACCTGGTCCAAAATAACAACAAATTCAAAAACATGCCCAGATATTGGGTTAGATAAAATTCTATTCTGGATTGTCGTGATCATCCAGAGATAGAGGCTTTATAAAAATATTAATAGGATTCATGTGAGAAGATTTAAAAGTTTTCTTGATTAAATACATGCATGAAAAGTTTATTTTAATTCAAAAGCAAGTTTTAATGACCAGGAGAGACAACACAAACAGTCCATCAGTGGATCTACAATATTAATACCACACGCAAGTGACAAAATATAAATTACTAGTGTACAATATTTGCTAGAAGTCACAATATCTAGGACAGGCAGAAGAGTAGGCTTTGCAAAACATTGTTTCCTTTCCTTTAGATGAAATTTCAAGATATTTGGTGCAATTCACATTTCCATCAGCTTCCAAAAAGTCATCTGCTACACGTGAAAAACACATTTTGACCTGACCTCTTTCAAATTTTACTTCATCTAGTTTCGATTACGCCACATATTTTTCAAGGACGTTGCTGAATTCTTAACAGCACAAATCCACACTTCTCCCTTGTCCAAGTATTTAAAAAGTTCAGATTATAAGTTACTCTACGAAACTAATGGACTTTAAAATGCAGAAAACGTAAGCGCGACAAAGGCCATAGAGAACTGAAATGTTCATTTGAATCGCAACATGCAAACAGTCAAATAAATTTGCCTCTTCAAAAGTCACACAAACTTTTCAGACATGTTTGCTGACGGCTAATACTAGCCTTTCTTAGTGTACACACACCCTCAGACAAAACGTACACCGCAGTCTAAATCCATTATTAATTTCCAAGCTATTTAATGGTTTGTGAACTTTATGGTCCACTTGTGATTCATCGAAAATAAAGTTAATAATACCTGCCATCTCACCGCTCGTTTGAAATCACATTAGCGCACATTGGCCTTTGCCAACGCCACGTTTTTGTGCTCTGACGGTAGCACTTGAAAAAGTAACTAAATTAAGCTCAGCTTTCGAATTCAAGGAAGGCATTAATCCATCTAAAAGAAACCATGATTCAACAAACAAAATAAAAATTGCCATTGTTATAATTAAACCAAGCGAAATGAGCAAACATGCTTATTAGACGTGACGGAAACGAGTGAAATTTACACATAATTCCGTGATCAATTTCACGAACGGTTCGAGATGTTCTTGAACGCAGAATGTTCAGAACTTCAGGCATTTTTGAGCGATGATTAATTTCCAAATTATGAGCGTTAAGTATGTGATTTGAGGTTTCTATTCAGCTCACCTTAATAGTAACACGGCCCGCTCAATGTCATCAAGACTCTCGTCAACAGTCAGTCTTTCGATTTCTTCTTGAGACTGCGGTAAAATGAGAACATTTTCCAAGATCGTTAGTGATAATTGAACAGTACGAGCCTATATCATATCTCTCTGTTCAAAAATAAATGCAATATTGACCTTGAGTCCTCGTATGGAACGCTCGGAGCGTAGCTCTTCTACGTCTTCCTCTCCCAGGGGCCCACCAACGAACGATCCCAGGCTCGACATATCAGGACTGATAGCGAAGGCAGTTTGTCCAGTTCATGCTGGAGTGCCTCGCAACTCCACAAAATAAGCCTCTATGTCTCGTTGACAATCATTTTCGAGTACAAAAATCCTCTAAATTGCTCAGTTAATCCATCTGTTTTCAGAAATCATTGACGGATCTTTGGAGTAAACTTATCACATTTGTAGTGTAACTCCCGTGGTCCCACACGGGCGCATCTTATGCGGTGTTCCTAGCAACGATCATTCATCGATTTCCGACCCAGAATAAATATTCTATTTTACAGTCAGTTTTACTCAAAAAATACATCCAATATGGATTTTAAAGCTAATTTATTTGTTTTAAGGAAGTATTCATGTATCGAGAGAATTTTAGCCAGAAAACGGAGATTTGAAAAGTAAGAGTCTGGGAATAATTATTCGATAAATGATCGATTATCATTAGTCAGCGGTTCTTCCAATATGGCCGCTAGGATTGCATAAAATTGTAGACTTTTGAAATTTCGTTCTTTGGCAAACTTGAAAGTTAGAAATTTCTCTAAAAGGTAAGTATAGAGACAATGAAGGACTGTCTTCGGCGTCAGCCAAATGATGTATTGATAATTCTGAATAGTTTATCCGCGATTTGATCCGAGAAGGGAAGTCCCTGGAGATGAATATTGCTCAATAAACAGATCGAACTTTTCTTCAAAAGAGCAATTTATTGAATTAAAATTGTTCCTCTAAATAATCAAATTTTTTTAGTTGACTCACCTTGCATGAATTTGGGAAAAATATCAACTTAATAACTAAAACATTGAAGTGAACGGACAATGAAATTAGGAGCCGATTTTAGAGTAAAATGGAGAATTACAATCAAAATGAGGGGATGTATTTTTTGCAACTATACATTGCAGCATTGAGTGATTCTTTGATTCTTACTTAACTCCAACATACATGTAATCTTCCACTGAGTGTCCCATGCCAGGACAGTTCAAGTTGGAGAGGAGGAGGGGGAGGGGGGTAGGGTAGGGAGGTAATTCTTATTCCTGGCTACACAGTGTGAATGCACTAAGGATACACTTTTTATGTTCTGTTTGAATTTCAGTCCATTACAGGGTTCTCCAAGTATTTTTTAAGATTTTTCCAATAATTTGCACCCATTTATACTCTGCTCTTGGATAGAGGGGGATGTTAAGAAAATAAAATGACTTAGCCCTTAAATTAGGTCATGTTGAAAACCATAATGTGAATGATTGAGTTTGTAATGTTAATTGTCCACCCTAGTGAGTTTCTAAAGCTGATGTTTCAAGTGTTAACCCTTCATCAGCACTACAGTTTTTCAGAAACTCACCCTCTTTATTCCCTCATTCTTTTATCACTGTGACAACTCAACTCTGGCCATTTGCTCTGACGAAGGCTAAATCTTGAAACATCAGCTTTAGAAACTCTGTTGATTAAACCAAATTATCTTGTAATACCTATCACTGATGCAATACCACAGCTCAGCACTCCAAGTTGTGACCATTTTGGTCACCATGGTAGGTAGAAAATATGTTTGGCAACTAAAATTTTGGCACAAATCACCAATCAGCAACCAACAGATTTGAAAAGGAAGAAATTTGAAAAATCTGTTAATGTTTGGTCAAATTATCAAATATACAATTGCCATCTTAAGAAAATTTTTTTTGTGACCAAATTGTTTTCTAAGGTGGCCATTCACCTAAAGGCGACTTTTTAAAAAAAAGAACTTGGAGCCCTCCAACTTCTTTAGAAACCTACCCCCTTTGTTCATGACATGAATGCATTGTCTACGTCATTGTGATCTCATGGAAGGTAAAGGGATGATCAACAAACAATTTTTGGGTTTTATAATCAATTTACTTATTAAATTATCCTTGAAATAAATATAACACAAATTTTATAGCTTTTTCATAATTTTTTTTTTTTTTAAAGGAGTTACGCCATGGCTTTATTGGAATGGTTGGCAAGTAAGCCTGAAATAAACTTGTTTTCCAGTTTTATTTATACAGCTTTAAAACATTATTTTATCGAAGCTCATTACCAAATTTTTTTCTTTGCTGGTAGCACTCCTTTGATAAGATTTAACAAGCTCAGTGAGAAAACAGGTGAGCATTAAAATAAATTATATAATTTGTCTGCTTAATTTTCTTTTCAGAAAAATGGATGCTCATCTCAAGGATTGTTGTTTTAATCTCTGGGATGGGAGGGGAGGGGGAGCAGAGATGTTGCATGGTGTCCAATATTTGAGAAAAAAAATCGTGTAGAAAAAGTGCAGTGGGAAAGTTTGGGATGTTTGTTGGATTTTTCCTAAGAAAAAGTAGAATACTGGGTACAGGAAGGTTAGCTTCTCTATCGTTTGTCGTTACTCTTATTTCTAATGCTTTTTAACCTTCCTCACCTTAACTTAAGTATGCATATTCCCCACACTGTCCTCTGTACTTTTCCTGAGGTTCTGACAAGGAGAATTTGTGTAACAATCAAGAGCTTTTTCAGTTGGTGGTTGTTTTCTTTATTCTTGCAACATCCATGTTTGTTTCAGTGCTGATTTTGTAAGGAGAAATTAGATGCTAGTCAGTCTTAATGTCAAAGGGTTTTTCTGATTTGTTGTTCAGGATGTGATATCACTGCTAAAGCTGAACAACTTAACCCTGGTGGCTCTGTGAAAGATCGCGCTGCACTGTACCTTATTAAAGAAGCAGAGGAAAAGGGTTTGTATTACCTTTTGTTGACATTTTTCATCATAATGGGGGCTAATTCTTACAGGCCTAGTGATTCATCACTGCAACTGGAGTTCCTTCAGTTTCCTCTAACATGAAGAGGCCTAGACTCTTCTGGGATGGAATGCTGGCCTATGACAGTCCCCCCCTCCACTGGCATTTTTTTAGGTTGCTGTGATAGTTTGTCGATGGTTATTCCACATTTACCCTTGGGTTGAAAGAAGTATTTTGAGAGAAAAGTGCCCCCCTCCTCCCCCAAAAAAAAAAAGAAAAAAAACCTGTCTTAATGGCCCTAGCTCAAATCCACAAATCATGTCAGTATAAGGATCTGTGGATTTGTTTGAGGCTTATTAACCCTTTACACTTCATCATTGGTGTTCATATTCTCCATTCTGTTCTCTTACCCTTTCACTCCCACAAGTGACCTAGACAGAATTTCTCCTTACAATATCAAAACAATATCAAGCAGGCAGGTGATGAGAATAGAGAAGAATATCAATTATGGGATTATTAGTTGATCCAATACCAAATTCTCTGAACTAACATCATAAGAATTGTATGGCAGATAGTAAGGAGAATTACTAATAAGATCTTGGGAGTGAAAGGGTTAACATTTCCTATGGTACTGACAAGGAGAATTTGTTTTACAATTATAATTTCAGCTTCTTAAATGAGTGATCATTTGTTTTATTTTCACGACCTATAATTTTTATTCAAGGGTGATACTGTAAGGAGAAATTAGAAGCTAGTCACTCTTTGGTGTTAAACAGTTAATTGAGTTAAAGGTTGTGATTTTTCTTTTCAACAATGATAAGTTAAGGAATACTTTTTTCTGATTGTACAGCTAGTTGCTTGGGAAGTTTGGGAACCAGGTAGGCTACCAGAATCTGAAAATTTTCATTATTTTCTATTTGTCTTTAGGTTTGATAAGACCTGGTGGAACTGTAGTTGAAGGAACAGCTGGAAATACAGGTTTGTATGAAATTATCAATTGTTTTGATTTGCTGTGTTATGATTATCTTGTCAAAGAGTGCAATAAGTTATTGTGTCAGAGTAATCATTGGGTTTATTTTAGGTATAGGACTTGCACACATCTGTCTTGCTAAGGGTTACAAGTGTGTTATTTATATGCCAAATACACAGTCACAGGTGGGTGTCAATAGAGCTTTGTTTTAGTTATCAATACCAAGGCATATTAATCCTTTAATTCCATGATATTTTTCTTCACTTGTCTGTTGGATATTTTATGAATATTGAAAGAAGAAATTCTTGCATGGCTACACTTGGGAGTTAAGGTTTAAGAGATTGTCTTGATGATTAACCTTCATTGTTGGAATTCAAGTATCCGTTTTACTAGGAAACAACTCATGGTATTATGAAGAGCTAATTTTAGCTGAGAATTGCTGTTATTATTTTAACATTCACCTTTTTTCATCTGCCATTGGGAATTTGTACATTAAAACGAAAATATTTACATTTTTTTTTAAGGAAAAGATAGATGTTTTGAAGACATTAGGTGCTGATGTACATCCCGTGCCTGCTGTTCCATTTGATGACCCCATGAACTACAACCATCAGGTGATAATTTCTCCCTATCAAACAATTATTCCACAAGCGCACATTGGATATGTGATGATAAATAACCAACAAGGGCCGTAAGGTTGAGTTGGCTCTAATCATCCCATATCCAACAGGCATGAATGGATAAATGTTTTATCAAAAAATGCTCCAAAATATTATTAGATAAATATTTCCAACTTTATTTTGTAAGAATGTATTATTAAAGCATGATATAACAGCTCATAATCCATGATGGCTGAGCCAATGAAAACTTTAGAATTGCATTATCCAGTTTTAAATAATTAGCTTTTACATACTATATAGCTGTTGTCTATTTGAGAATAAATGGCAGTGGGATGGGAAAATATTTGGGTCTTGCTCATAGCTTAGGGTCTGTGCACAGCAAAGTCTGCCAGTCATAACTGAGAGCAAAGTATTTTTACCATCTAACTCAACCTTAAACTTGGTCCATATAACATTTTATCATATAATCCTCCCTCTTTTTTTTCCTTTCTTTTAGCTGCATCCTCTCCAGGCAATATAGCTTTATCCCTCCCCACTCATGCTATTGCATAGAGTCCTTGTATAAGGGGAATTTTTGCCTAATGTTTTTCAATAAGAGCATGCACTGGGCTTTATGGGTCCCACAAAAGAGGCTTGTTTGCAACCCAAGTAGCAGGGTGATGAAAACTTACTGAATAAATGCACATGACGAGTCTTAGAATGCATGTCAGAAATTTTTAACATGAATTTGCCAAGAGAACCACTTGGAACATGGCTTTAGCTCTGTTTTATCTGCTAGACATGTAACCTAAGTGAGATGAGAAACACCTTTGACATTTAAAGGAATGCAATTGTTAATACTGGGGTGAAGAACTAGAGGTTATAGACTTTTCCTTACTTTTGTTTTCTGATTTTCAGGCTAGACGATTTGCTGAAAGCATTGACAATGCTGTATGGACAAACCAGGTAATTCTAAATGAGGCCACAGTCAATCAAAGTTGGGATGTTGATGAACACAAGGACATCTCTTTATTCTGTCCAATTTTGGACACTAGTGTCCCATTGTAGACAAAACCAGACTCTAGAGTATAAAATCAGACACTAGCATCTCAAATTGGACAACAGTGTCTAATATCTGGGGCTAATGACCAAAATTGGACACTTGCCACAAATTGGTTTTAGACATTAGTGACAAGTTTTGGACGATATTTCAGACTCTGTTGTCCAATTTTAGACACTAGTGTGCAATTTTAGACTCAGCTGTCTGATTTTGAACACTTATACTGATTTTAGACACCAGTGTCTGATTTTGGTTTCTATAAGTGTCAGATTTTAGACATTAGTGTCTAAAATTGGTCACTAGTGTCTAAAATCTAACACTTGTTATGTCCAAAATCAGCACTAGTGTCTAAAATCTGACAAAAGTATCCAAAACTGCACTTTAGTGTGTAAAACCACACACTTGTGTCAGAATTTGGTTACTTGCATATTAGATTAGGCACTAGTGTTGAAAGTTGGACGCAAATGTCTAAAATGGGACTGTGGTGTCTAGAATCAAACACTAGTTTCTTTTGGTCACTTTTGTCTTATTGGACAATATTATAATATCTCTTGCCTAAATTTATCTATCTTGTTTTTCCCTTAGAGAAAAGCTCAGTTTTTTGAGCCTTGGTGGTTTTTTTTAATTTGGTTTTATTTTTCATTTAGACATCATAATTACCATAATTAATAGATTATTTTATATGATCTAAACATCTGGTGCAAATTAAAGTAAAGAAATAATATTTGTCAATATTTATTTAGTTTGACAACATATCAAATAGAAGAGCTCATTTTGAGACGACGGGGCCAGAAATTTGGAATCAAACTGATGGAAAGATAGATGCTGTTACGTTTTCCACCGGAACTGGTGGCACTTTAGCAGGTGATGATACATCATTTCTTCTTATATAAAGCAGTAGTGGTTTGAACCCAGATGTAACTGTTGACTGTGCAGTCTAAGTTCAGGTGGAAGTAGCTTTGTAAAGATCTGTTGTTTTTTGGGGTGACTGACATTTTGACAATCAGAGCCCATAATAACTTACTGCCAGGTTGTTGAAACATCAGTCATTTCTACCAACAACAATCATTTTCAGTACTATTCTTACCCAGACTGCAATGGGAGATGTGGTGGGTGAATGGTTGGTGCACTGGGGTCTGGGTTGAGAGGTCTGGGTTCTAGACCTGGTTGGGTCATTGTGTTGTGTTCTTGGGCAAAACACTTCACCTTCGCATTTCCTATTCTAACCCAGGAGTATATATGTATATCTGTGGATTGTCAGGGAGGCTTGATGAATTGCTGGGGTAACCTTGTGTTGGTGTGGCAACCCATCCAGTGGGGATTAATCACACTTCACCTCCACATTTCCTCTTCCCACCCAGGAGTATATATGTGTATCTGCGGATTGTCAGGGAGCTTGATGAACTGCTGGGGTAACCTTGTGTTCGTGTGGCTTCCCATCCAGTGGGAATTAGTCATATACCCAGTCACTTTGTAGAAAGGAAAGCAGGATAGGCTCTGGCTGGGTGGGTTCATATCTTACCTTACCCAGACATCAGCTAAGACTTCAAGATCCACTCCTCTTTCTAAAATTTGGTTTTTGAAGTTGCTGAAGTTATTGTTGGTTGTGAGAACCACATCCGAAGGTATCACATTGAATAATGTTTCTTTTTTTTCTTTAATACTAGGTGTAGGAACATATCTTAAATCAAAGAACCCAAATGTCAAAGTTGTTTTAGCTGATCCTGAGGTAACCTCTCACAAAGTAATATTCCATCTTGTTCCATTATTAGCATGAAAACCAGTGGAGGAGAAATTTAAAAGTATGGTGCTATCTGTGCTCCTCTATAATTTCCAATCCCTTTCATGAGTCACTTTTGACAAAAACGTAACCTCATGTTCTGAAACAAGTATGTTAACTAAGAAAAGAGAGGCGGAAGAGGCATTCTGGTTAATACCTTAGTGACATTAGGCTAACTTTCCTCTTGTATAATCTATAATGTATTTAAATAGAGTAGCTATTTGACACCTCGAACCTTACAAAAAAATGACCTCACCCCACTCCCCCCTGGCGAGAAAAAAAATCTTCATATAGTTAACAGTCCGGGATAGTTATCATATTAGATAACCACGTGACGTCACAACCTGGTGACCATTTCGGATATCGAGGATTTTCGTACCCAGTTTGAAATGTTCGCTATTAATTCGTTATTACCCGCCGTATGTACTAATAATTCTGTTGGAAATAAGTGAATAGAAACTAATCTTTGCGTGTACTTCGTGGTTTACCGTGAGTTTTTTTTCATGCCTATGACATTTTTCCTTCTTTATGTAAACAGGGTAGTGTACTGTACAATTACATCAAAACTGGCGAGTTAAAAAGAAGTGATGGAAGTTCTATCACCGAAGGTAACAAAATTCATTCTCTTCTTGTGGGTTAAATGAACATTAATCCAGTCTTTAGGGAGCTGTTACGATTTGTGTGACGTGGAAAAATTTTCCGAAAAACCCTGTCACTGTGATAGACTTCTCATCCCTTAACACGTCGCATGAATCGAAACAACAATACGCCTTCCTTTAGAACGGGAGAACTAATGCAGTGGGACGAAATTTTTATAAAACTTGTTACTCAATCTGGATGAGACGCTTTTTCACCGGAACCTAAGCCCTGACCACACTTATCTGTTTTTAAGAGTCGGCTTTGATCTCAACCGAAATGATTCAAAATGTTTTTGCCCACACACTCCACGTTTTCAAGCCCCTTAGCTGTAGGAATATGGTAACTTATCATTTAGAGGAAATGTAATCTCGTAGAGAATGATTTTGTATCTGTTTGTATTTTGTTTTTATCTGTTTGTTGTTATATGTTTAAATTTTTCCCCAGGAATTGGACAGGGGCGTGTAACAAGCAATTTAAATGGGGCTCCAATCGATGATGCTGTGTTTGTGTCTGATAAAGAAGCGGTAGAGATGGTTAGACAACTTGATTGGTTTATATCTTGATTGGTTTCTATCTTGATTTACGCAGATTACACCTTTGTTCATTAATTTTTACCAAGTAGCTGAGATACTTGACGCGTTCTGATGTGTCCAAAGTCTCCCATTTATCCTACCGATAGACTCATTGCCATCTTAATTAACGATTAGATTATGAGCTCGAGAGTTCTATCACGAGATAGTTGATGAGGGAAAAGCCCTCATATTCCAACACGCATACTAATCGAGAGCAAATAATCTGATTGTTGAAGTATAAATCTATACGTCGCTTAAAACTTATCAGCAAGAAATGCTCATATTCTTATCTTATTTTGTTTACAACCACGCAATGTTTTGCTCCCCACTTAACTCGTATCTATCATGGAATCGATAGTGAAGTAGCATTTTCCGTATAATGTTGGTAGTAGTTTATATAGTTTATAGTTTTAGATTTATAGTTTGGGTTATCGGCGTAATAACCCACTTGGAATGTTGGTAAAACACCTGGTAATTTATTTCGTATATCATTGAGTCCGTGTCAATCTTGTTAATAAAACTAAAAAAGTCTTTCATCTGGTCATGAAGCACTTTTCAACCTTTTTCTTCAGACCTTTTATTTACTTCACGAAGAAGGCTTCTTTGTAGGCGCCTCATCTGGTTTAAACGTCGCTGCAGCCGTGAAGGTAAATTGAATTTTCATCCTTTCAACCTTATCATAGAATGCAAAACGTCTTCGTTGGAAGAAATAGCTCTGTTGACTGTTTCCGCAAGCTTAAATCAGTGAATTTGCCTAGGGTGTATTAATTATAATAATAGTTATAGTAATAATAATAATAATGATGATAAAGCATTTATTTATACACGATAAAAATACAGCGTAACTGCTGTGGTCGTGTCACGTGTACCTCAGATATGGTCGTGTAAAGTCCGAACGGTGTCGAGAGTAGCCCGACGGAACGAGCGGCGAAACCGCCAGAGAGAGTTGTTAGGGGCACAATACAATTAGCAACAATCAGGAGGGCTCCTGCACCAATCCAGTTTTAACTTTCATGGCAACGTATAGGTTTTTTCTGCCTCTTACTTAGGATTAGCATTTGTTGGGTATCAAAAAACCCGGCCCGAGGAAATGGACAAAAATAGAGACTTCTCTGAGAATATCATCAATATTGTGACATAAAATCGGCCACCTTCGATAGTTAGAGTATTTGTTTGTTTTTATTCGGAAAGCATTCCACTTGAACTCAAATGAGTTCATCAATGTCTTTTTCTTTCACAGGTCGCCGAGATGCTTGGTCCAGGCCACGTGATTACCACATGTCTGTGTGACACAGGGCAGGTACGTTCCAAGTCACGTGATTTTGTTTGACTCCAGTCACTGCCTTTTCTTACTAACAATATTTTCTTTCTTTTTTTTTTGTCCCGTACACAATGTAGAAATACTTCGCGCGTCTCTTTAGTAAAGACTGGATGGAGTCGAAAGGTAACTACATTTTTGAACTTTTCGCTTAAAACCGTCGCGTTAAAAGTGGATAATTGGATGAAAGAATTTAAGCCCCATATCGGAATTAAGAACTTCTCGCGCTTTTCTGAAAAGCAACAAACGTTGATAAAGGATTGAAATAGTCTCTTTCTTATTTTTCCGCCCCCAAATGCTGGTTTACAATTAATACACAAATTTTTTCCACCTGCAGGTCTTTTAGATGTAATTCCTGAAAAGTACCGTCATTCCTTGCATTGATGACATCAGTAGAAGTATAATCTAGCTCATGAATGATTTTGACAATTTTCCCAGTGATCTACGCACATGTTGGAGAGCAGATGAAGTTTTTCCTTCATGTAACCCAACTGGTTTGTACCAGACATAGGAACCATTATATACCCCATTCACACCAGCAAGACACGTTTAGTTAAACCAAGTTGAACAGAATGAAAATCAGACACAGGTTACTGAAAAACTGAATTTTCCCATGGGTTCAAGTCATCACTGACTTGTATTTTCTATGTGCTATAAAATCGGAAGTCGACAAACATTTGTCTAAACAGAGCTTAAAGCCAAGTTTGAGAAAACAGTTTTAAAACATGTTTAAGCTTTGGTGTGAATTGGGTATAAACCAGAATGCGTTGAAGCCGATTGACAAATAATTGGATCAACAACAACAACAACAACAAAAAATAGGAAGCAAACAAACAAACAAAAGAGGAAAGGAAATCAGAAACAAATGAGGACATTTGATGTCATGGTTTTGAAAAAGACCGATGATAAAGGATCATGATCGCCTCTATTGTTTCGTAGGAATATGGGAATAATTTATTTTCAATGGCGCACTCACTAAATCCTCCCTCTCTCTCACATTCTCTTTCTTTACTAATGCACAATGTAAAAATGATTCAGGACGCTGTCAACTTTAAAACGCATATCAGACTAGTATAATTTTAAATTCAGTTTTCGTCTCGGCAAGAATTAATTCAAAAGCGGAAGGGAAAGTGTTTTATTGTACATTGACCTAGCAAACAGCTTTCACTCAGGAGTCTTTAACGTTATAAAAATTCGATTTATAAGGTGACAGTGCCATACAAGAGGAATTACTAATGCTACATAAGTCCTGGTATTGATTTTTAAAGCATAAATACCTAAAGGAGACCTCAATTGAAATAACTAACTAGGTAGAGAAATTGTGCAAGAATTAACTAAATGCAAGTCCCAATTTACATGAAATTAAAAATCTTGCTGACAAAAAGATAAACACGAGAGTCTTTAAACTCTGCCGTAAATGTCGCCTCAAACTTTACGGCTCAAATATCTAGTACGTGAAGTCTTCATTAAGTTTAGTTTACAGTTATCTGACAGTCGCCAGCAAATTACGAAATACCTTCCTTTTCACTAAGTTCAAGCCAACCCTTTCATCCATAACAGTGATTAGCATCTCATTTCTCCCAACATTACCACTCCCGAATCACACACTAAGGTAATGAGAATATAGGAAATGATCGCCAACTGGAGAAGTTCTTGATCGTTAAACAAATTCTCCTTGTCAGCACGTTAGGAAATGTTTAGAGGCCATTATGGAGATTATGCATACGTATGTTAGGGTATTAAGGACAAAAAGAAGTGATGCTGACAGATAAAATCATAGGCATAAATGTCTTATTGATATAGTAATGGAAACCAGCCATTTCGTTGTGTAAAGCCTCAGTAATGACGGAGAAGCGGAACTGTGTTCTTACAGCTTTTACTGAACAGATCCCCGTCCACGAGTTTTGTAGTCCACTACGTTCCTGCTGGCTTAATGATTGGTTGCTAAGGATAGCAACGCTGTTCAGTTAGTAAGGTCTGTAGCGGTAGTTGGAGAGCTGGTATGACTGGCGATGATCATGCTGTATAACAAAGCAAACAAATGTTCAAAAGCGAAATTAGACTGAGAAAATCACAAACGCATCAACCAATGATTGACTTTGTTCTAGCATAACTCATACAATGCCAGCTAAGCCAGCGAGAATACTGACCCTGGCCGGGGCATCCCGGTACCGATTGTCTTGATTTTCCCGCGGGTCCCGTGGTGAGTTGTTATAATTACCGCGCGAGAAATGGGGCTGATTTGGCCCAGGTTCCCGATAAGAAGGCCGCATATGAGACCACGGCGTAGGTCTGTTTCCTTGGTAACCGCCTGAATTGTGACGCGGTGCCTGCTGCCTATAAGAGTTGTTTCGTCTTGGATCATTGTAATCACGTGATGATGGAGGTGTACCCAGAATGGATCTTGAATGAGGAGGATGACCATGTCTTGGATAGTTCTGCGGTGGGACTGAGTATGACCTGAAGGGAGGAGCATGGCTGCCCGGTGTAGATAGACGAAAGACCTCACCTCCGTGAAAACTGAGACAACAAATACAAACACTTTATTCGATGGTTTAACATGATATGCGCAGATGTTTTGCCAGTTACAAAACATTTTGAGGAGCAAAACGCTCGTTTATGTTGAACAGACTCTAATTGGTCGAAGGTGGGAAGTACGGTGGTTCAGAAAATATATATAAATAGATGTGAACTAGCAGGGAATCGTGAGAAGTATTCAAGATGTAAAGTCGTCACTCCATGTCACAAGCATGCCCTTGCTTTTGAGCGACACGCGCGTTGCAAGTCCCCTCGCAAAGAGGATAGTGCCTCTGTTGCACGTTGCGCGTTTTCTTCGCGCGCGCTACTCTATATCGGGTGCCCGAGTATCTGTTAATGCTAGGTCTTCCGGTTTTCTTATTAACGCCATCAGTTCACTTACTTGAGCATTCTTCTTCCAGCGCTGTCAATTTGAGCGAACGACGTCCTGTTAGGATTCATTCCTGTGACCGGCCGATATGGAGCATTTCTGTCATAACCCTCAGGCTTCAAAACACGGGCTGGAAGTCTGAGCATTAAAATGAACAATCAAAGGCGCTTCGACATTAGCTTAGTTTGACTTACATCATGTTTGTACTGAGTCCTGGTTGAGTTACAGGGGTGGGGGGAGGAAAGGAAGGTTTTTCTAAGAGTGAAGGGTCTGTTGACAACCCAACAAGGGAGGGGAAAGGAGCGATGCGGTATGTAGAAGAGGGATCCCCCAAGGGAACGGGAAAGGTTCGATTTTCGTCCAATTCTAGCATAAACGATTTTGGGACGTTTTGTGTCAGGAATTTTACGCTTATTTTTTTCATAAGTAGAAAAACGTTTGACAAGGTTTTAATTTTTCAGAGTTACATTTTGTTAATTGGGAGAGGGTTAACGTTTTCGGCTGTTAAGTATTAAAACTGACTTACTGTGCATTGGGTAAAACATCTGCTTTGAAAATATGATCGTCATCGTAAACAGGATCAGTGAACAGGACACTGAAACCAAGAAGCATAGAATTTAGTAGATAAGTAATCATCACGACAAGTTTTATTTGTAGAACAAGAATTACGATTGAGTGATCGACGATGAAGAGAAAGGTAGCTTTGACAAGGCGAGAGCCATAACGGAAACTTCCGACGAAGACCTTCCGACAAAGACCTTCCGACGAAGACCTTCCGACGAAGACCTTCCGACGAAGACCTTTCGACGAAGACCTTCCGACGAAGACCTTCCGACGAAGACCTTCCGACGAAGACCTTCCGACGAAGACCTTCCGACGAAGACCTTCCGACGAAGACCTTCCGACGAAGACCTTCCAACGAAGATTAAGGGGAAAAGACAACAACGAAGATGACAAAGAAAAAGGCCGTGCGACAAACACAAAGATTCATCGACGACGACGCGCCGCAGACAAAAGCCACTACGGCGATGAGCTAAAACAATTAAAAAAAAAAAAACGACGCTAACAAATACACTCTTGGGATGTAAGTAACCATGTACTGTTCGAAGAGATTCAGTGACAAAGACAGAAAAGGAGTGGGAAGGGCAAAATGCAACAGGGTCATGGGAGGACGCCTTCTCTTCTAACAAACAGGATGTAACATCAGTTTCCATAATCTCCATACTCTTTGATATACATCTCCTTTGGTACTGACAAGGAGAATTTGTTTAACAATCAAAGCTTCTTGGGTTGGTGATCATTTCCTTTATTCTCATGACCTTAATGTTTGATTATGGGGTGGTACTGTGAGAAGAAATTAGATGCAATTCACTCTAGAGTGCTAAAGAGTAAACCGTAGGAGTATCTTACCTTATCGTTCGGTTGTCCCGTAAGTCGTAAAGTTGAGGTATGGGAGATGGAACAGTTCTGCAATAAGGTACAAGTATGATCGGGTAAATAAGCGTCCCTTAACAGTCGAAGATACCTTAAAATGATTTTGTCTATTGATTCCACAATCAGTTTACATCAACCCCACGACTTTATTTGTTCGAATTCAAAGGAAACTACCCATTAAGCTACTTCATCTTAGTTATAGCTCTCCTATACATTTCATATTTATTTTAGTGTTAGTGAACACAAACTTTGTAGAAAATTTAATCACCAGGGTAGGTAAGAGGCCAGGTTGTTGAGAGAGATTTAAAATGGCGCCACCCGTGATTAAATTTTAGGATTATTTAAAGACAATTTTCGAAAGGCTAGTTTGCGCTCTGGAATCTCAAAACGCAGTCAATATCATTATCTCAGGTATACGTTTTCATAGCGAAAGTAAAAATCGTGTGATGTTTGGAGCACACATCTCCATCAACAGTGTTACTCAGATGGTTACAGATCAGTCGTTCATTCTTACTTGTACGGTAAAATAGGAACATCGTCTGGTTCTACTTTTCCCGACATGCCACCACTCAGATTAGCCACGATTTCAACCGCCTGCAAAGACATAAGGAGACAACTTAAGATGTCTGATGAATAATTTGAGATTTCTTCTCAGCGAAAAACCTCTGAATTATCGTTGGCGCCTGTTCCTGGATCTCAAACAGTGGAGACGAACGAAAAGAATGAGAGTCCAAGAAATGGCGTTCCCAAAATAAGCGGGAGCGTTACAAAAATGCAATACGAGATACAGCCGTTTTTCTGACAGCTGTAACAGCTGCATCCTCTTGCTTGTCATTGTCTCCACTAATTCAGAGCCTAGCACGGGATGCTGTCGCTAGTGTCAGCTTAACACAGGATTTCAATGAACCCTTTACGCCCAAACATCACAATGCATATTCTCCATACTGTTCTCTGTGCATTTCCTAAGGAGAACTTGTTTAACGAGCAAGGGCCTCTTTAGTGGGTGATTATTTCCTCTGTTCTTGCGACCTTAACGTTTAATTAAGGGGCGATATTGTAAAGAGAAATTAGATACTAGTCACTCTTAAGGGTCACAGGGTGAATCGTTCACCCCATTAGATTGGATCGCTATGGTCGCATAGTCAACAGTAGTGAAGAAGAGTTCCACTGTCATCAATCACTGGAATAATTCTGTAACTCCAACGAAAATTGAAAAGGAAAAGAAAAAAAATAATTCTACAGCCCGAATTATACCTCTTTGATGCCACCTCCTTCGTATAAACCAACAAAGAAGTCAAAGATGGGATTTCCCTGGCGTAGAAACAAGCGATCTTTACCGCGATTGTTCCTTTGCACTAAAATAAATGAAAGCAAAGACATCCTTAGTTGGAAGCAGCAGTGTAGCGCACAACAACTCCTTAACATATACCACCGCCGCAGTATGACGCAAAACGTTACGCTGTACAAAGTCTGTACGAAATCCGAGGAGAAGAGCAGCTATGAGGTTGTTAACAAAGCGAGAAGTCATTGGCACTATTGATTGGCAGAGAAGTTCGGAACACCATACAGACGATGTACAAACGTTTCTTGGCAGATTATGAGATCTGACTAACCCTTTACATCCTAAGATCAGTATGCATATTCTCCATACTGTTCTCTATACATTTCCTAAGGTGCTGACAAGGAGAATTTGTTTAAGAAACAAGAGCTTCCTTTATTCTCATGACCTTAATGTTAGATTCAGGGATGATATTGCAAGGAGAAATTAGATATTGATCTCTCCAAGGGGTTTAAGGATTAACAGAAGGAATTCAATAGAAAGATACGAAAAAGACGAGTCTGTTTTACATCATAGTTATCAAGGATTGTCAAAAAATTATCGAATGATTGCAACTCTTGGTGGTTGCGTTGAAAGTTTCCTCATACAAATACATGAGTATGCAGGTAAGAGCAAGTTACCATTTATGCCAGAAGGGATGAATCAAACTTACTCTCAAAGTCTGTGAGATCTGGATATACTCGACTGAGAGCGCCGAGAAGTCTCTTCTCGTCAACAAACGGTAACAGGGCTACACCTTGAAAGAGAACAGCGATAAACATGTGAGGTCACAGTTTAGAGCGCTTTTCGATTGAGTGTCGTAAAATCAAAACCACAACAGCCAATCAAGGCGAAGCGAGAACTCAAAGTAAAACTAATAAAAATGCCTGAAGCGCGGGAAAACGCGGGTGACCGAGTCACGAGCGGTTCTAATTTTGCATCTGATTGGTTGAGCCTACTTTACCTTGCCATGCGTATTTCTTCCCGTTGAGATCGATTTCAAAATCCAGTGGGTAGAAATCAATGATCGGCGACTCCTGAAATGCGAATCAAAATGCGTTTCAGTCTCTTACTCCCCAGATCTTGTTATAAATTCTCCGCAATATTCTTCATACACTACGTTTCCCATAATCAAACTCCAGAATTGTCAGTGGAGAAAATAAGATTGCAATACAAACGATACTTACTGGGTGAGACATCAACTCTCTCCAGGTTGGAGGAAGAAAGTTTCCGCTGGCAGCTGGAAATACTCCCATCAGTTGCTCCAGAGGCTTAAACTGAAAAATAATAATAAAAATAACATATTAGAAACTACCTTTAGACTTCCTCAGTAATGTACCACACATTTTTCGGAGCGCATAATTTATGCGCGATAGCTGTGCGCACAATTAAGCACTGCAGCATAGTCTTAAAGCCGGAGCTTGTAGAAGAACAGAGTCATCATTTCACCAATAACAAAGACGTCGATCTAACAATTTATTCGCTTCTTCGCTCAAGTAAAATACAAAGGAATTGTCAGTACAAAATAGAAAAGAAGAATGTGAATTAAATAGCGCGACATTTAAACATAGAGCTCACGTCCAAGGGATTTACAGGATAGATACAAGGAATAGCAACTCCGACCTCCCTCATCCTACAGTTTTATTCTTGAAAAGAGTTTTTAACTCGATGTTTTAAGTGGCGGAACGGGACCACAATGCAACATCGGCCCGAACACACACAACCACGTAAGTACACGCGCGTATGCTCTCAAGTTTCTAAACGCACGCAGGTGCATGAGCGATTATGCGCACTTGTTATTTAAACACAGTGAAACAAAATAAAACATTTTTTTCAGATTTCAATTCGGTTTTGTTCCATTTCTTCTCACCGGTTGCGTCCCTTTTTCAAAAGAGTTTGGAAGTGATGCAAGGTCACGGAAATCTGAGGCGAAAGGCGCGTAATGATATGGATAAAACCACTTCCAGGAAGGACAGCCCTGAAAAAAAAAAAAGTTAAATAAATGATGAAACTTACCTTCAAGCGCTTTTCGATTGATTGTAATGAAACCAAATGTATAAAATCTATTTACGAAAAAAGAGAGAGTTCAAACTCCGTAAAAGATAGATATTAAACTTGTTAAATGAACCACAACATTTGGCTAAAATAAAAACACCGAAACTTCTTAAATTCCAAAAGAAAGTGGTAACAAATTTACGCGACTGAAAGCTCAAAAACAACAGACCAAAAGTCCGCGAAAACAAACAAAAAGGGGTTCTTTGACACGATCGGCCAATTTGTAAAATCACGCGCGCCGCGCGCGAAAACAAAAAGAAAACAAAGGGGGAACAGGAAGAGAAACATTGTTATTTAAAATTTAAAAACGAAAGAGATTTTCTACACCAAAACCAAAGTAATCACAACAGCCAATCAGAACGTCACAGGGAACCAATGAGAACACAGTAAAAACCAAGCAAACTGCCTGAAGCGCGGGAAAACGCGGGCGACCAACAGGCGATTGGTTTTAGTTGTGATCTGATTGGTTAAGAATGTGGCGCGAGTTTTGTAGACCAATAAGAGAGCGATGTGAAGAAAAACCAACGCAATCCTGGATTACATATAACCTGACATACCTGATAGTAATAAAGTAAAACCCAACAGAGTCCTTCCACATAGGCGTGCGCCTGAAAGATTCAAAGTGACAACGGATACTTTTTAGACCTTAGTAAGTCAAACTAATGATTTTTTAAGCTCGTGAAAAAAAAAATCTTCCTTAAATTCCAATCGTAATTTAGTTAATTTATGGTTTTCTCCTTCCATACAAAGTAACCTATTAGACTGACAATGATAAGAAGTTTCCATAGTTCTACTAACATCATCCCAAGTCATCTTAATTGACCCGCGGTCGCGCGAAATCCCATCATCCTTTGCCGCATACTTTACAATTCCCAACCGCACGTCACTTAAAGAGGACAAGCAAGGGAATAAACTACCCGGCTTGCTACACAAGCCATTTCAAAGAATACCAGTTCACCACAGAGAGAACTAAGCACTTCGATAAATTTCCCAGACAATTTACCAGAAATTCTTAAACTTACGGAAACACTTTAAAAGCAGAATGTTTTTGTTGAAAAGCGAGCCAGACGAGTGCTTTACCAATCCCTCAACATTTGAATGAACACGCAGATGAAACTTACCACTTTCTTCCTGAAGTCATCATAACCTTCATCGTCTTCAGACAGTTGAAATTTATTTTTGTAATAACGGCCTTTCCATCCTGCCTCCCATAACCTGAGAAAAAAGAATCAAACTCCACATTTTTCTTTTAAAACAAACCGAAAACCGAACTCCAGACCCATTCAGTAAGTCTCTATTATCTTGTAAACACGTCAACACGTGACAGCGCTACGTGAACCCTGGGAAACGCATCCCATAGTTCACGGTCGCCGGGACATTCCTATTGCCTCAAGGGACGAATTAAAGTGGAAGATACCTCCGGTGTTCAGTCTAATACACAAAACATCACCTAACAGGTGTTAAATCATTAAAGTGGATTATACCAATATGCGAGCGCGAGAATTAAAGCGCGAGAGAGAAGTGTTTACTCTCTCGCTGGCGTGTTACACGCGCTCCTGCCTATTAACTTCTGCGCTGATCATCTTAATGATGTATGAGGAAGTTTATTTACCGAATATCATCTTTAGGTTCCTCGTCTTCCTCTTCATGCTTTCTCTTGTTTGATGCTTGATTCGAGTTTGGCGTACTTGAAGAAGACTAATTTTGAAAGGAAAATCAGAAAAAGACCTAAGCAAAGATAATTTGATTTAAATACGAATGCATTATGTACTGCGGTTTGAAGACACGCTAACTTTTAAGTCTGTAAATGAAACTCTAATGTGGGACCATTTAAATGAAAGCTACTGAGCAGTACTTTCATGTGGTACTGTTTATATGGTGCTATGCAAGGTGATTCAAGCTTTGTCTTATGATAAAACCCAGGCATGTGACCATTGATATGAAAGCTACTGAGCAGTACTTTCACGTGGTACTGTTTACATAGAGCTATACAAGGTAGTTAGAGCTTTATCTTAAGGTAAAACCCTATTGAGTGACCATTACAATGAAAGCAACTGAGAAGTACTTTCTTGTGTCATTGTAGAAATGTAAGATGGTTTCCGTGTTTACATAGCCTGATGTAAACACGCGGGAGGTTGGGAGAACACGAGATAAGCGTAAGAAACCACGACGCGAAGCGGAGTGGTTTCCAGCTTATCGATAAAATAACTAATGAAAGAGGAACGAAAACCGTGTTTACATACGCTCATGTAAAATGGTTTTATGGCCAATCAGAGCACGCGTACTATTTGAATTATTTTATAATGTACATTATACCATAGGTGGTTCAAACTTGCAAGTCTGTGGAAGAAACCCTAACGTGTTACCGTTCAAATGAAAGCTACTGAGCAGAAATTTCGTGTGGTACTGTTTACTGTGCTGTATACAAGATGGTTCCAACTTCCAAAGCCTATGGACGATACCCGGGTGCGTCACCAATCAAGTGAAAACTCCTGAGCAGTACTTTCATGAGGTACAGATTACAGCGCCATGCAAGGTCGTTGTAGATGAAAGCATGCGGTGCAAGATGGCTCTAACGTTCTTTTTTGTGGACATTAAACAATGAAAATTAAACGGACAATTTTGTGTGAACGATTAGTTTGCCTCGCGATCTACTCACCGTATTAGCATCAGGAGATGGTGTTACAAGCATGGCTCTAAGATTTGCTGCAGCACTCTACAAAACCAAATAAAGCATCTTAGTCAATAAATACTATCAGCATTAAAAGATTGAGCCCCAAGATAACTCACGCCCCCCTCTCCATCAATTAAATACAATACACCCCTGAATCAAACATTAAGGTTACGAGAATACCTAAAATGATAAATATTTTAGGAAACTCTTGATGGTCATTCAAATTCTCCTTGTCAGCACCTTAAGAAATGTATAGAGAACAGCATGGAGAATATGCATACTGATCACTGAGTTACGTTCTTAGGTACTGCTGGGCAGCCAAGGAAACACGAAACACGCAAGGGGGGAGAGGTGGGGGTAACCACAGATGAACATGCATCCTATTCAAAGGGAATGTCAATACTCGTGCTCGCTTAATACTAAACCAGGCCAAACTCTGACTGTGTGAGCCGCTCGCGTTAAGATTTTTACCTTATTAGCTGCTTCTGAACTGCCACCACTATAGGACATAGCTTGCTTTCGCATGGCGTAAGCCTCTTGTCGAGGAGAGACAACAGCTGAAGGTGTGTTAGTTATAGCATGAGGGCTAAATTGTCCACTTGGTGTCCAGAGAGGAGCATCCCGCTACGGAAAAAACCACACATTTTCGTTTCATTGCAAAATACATTATTTCTTGAGATGTAAGACAATTCACGATTTAATTACTTTTACTCTACTTCGCCAATTCATTGGAGTTTTCCTGCGCTTTCATAAGACAAGTCATTGGTTATAACTTCGGTTTTTCCTGGCGATATTTTTTCTTGTTTTGATTGGATGTCTTGGAGCAGTTTACATTGAGTGTCTTGAAACCAAAACCCAAAGTAATCGCAACAGCCAATCATAACAAAGCTTTGCGTCATCATTGGCCAATGAGGACTGAAAGCAATACAGGCTGACTACGAACAGAGCGGGAAAACGCGGGCGGCCGAGTCACGGGTGGTGTTCATTTGGCGTCTGATTGGTTTAGACATAGCTCAAGACCGGACCAAACACAGACCGATGTAAAACAAAACCAATGTAATCCTGGAACATTTACGAACCTCCGTTGAAAATTACTCTACATACTTCGTTTTTGTTTCAAGACGACTGATTGAAACCGCTCGCACACATATGCTAAAAATGTTTTAAGGTTGAAAATTTATTCTTCACCAGATTTAAACAGACAACAATAATCACGTGGGCAGAGGTTTGTTCCTTCAACCAAACCACAAAAGCGACACTTGCAGAAATATTCAACGCTGAATAAATAAGGTACATACCATCTTTTGTCGTTTTTCTCTCTCTTTATTTGCTTTCAAACGTCTTCTATATTGTAACTGGAGTAAAGAAAAAGACATTGAATAAAAGCTTGGCTAATAATTTGAGCATAAAATTTCCTCTTCCACGCGTTTGATTTCCAACTAAATAAACAAAGGAGGTAGTCGCTGGTTGAAGACGGAAACTAAAACAGTTTCACCACTGGTGTCCTGTTTTAATTCAAATTTTAATCTACCAGTTATTCTGCTGAGAACCAGTTAACTAAGAGAGATTTCTGTTACAAACTGCTGTACGCATATACCACAGAGCAAATCACCCTACTTAACATCAATTTAACGATAGATACCCACTTCGTTTTCCTGTCTTTTCTTAAAAATTTCGTCTTCCACATAACCAAGCTCTACAAAAATGAATAAAAAAGAGCTAAAAATTTATAGTTTGGGCCACAACGAAGCACTATCTTACTACCAGAGTTGAGAAGTACACATTAAAACTTTGCTTACCTTGAAGAATCATCTGTACTCTGCCAAGATCCACAATACCATGTTTAGCAAGGTAGCCCTGAAACGAGAACACTAATTAGAGCAGAGAAGATGCGGGAGACTGGACCTACGGTTTATCGTCCATGTCCGACTAGAACATACATAATGTAGCAAAGGCAGCACATTCTCAGGCACAACTATTTAAGACCCTGATTTAACCCTTTAAGTCCCAGAAGTGATTAACATGTAACCAGTCTCCATATAGTATCCATAAATTATCCAGCAAACAGGCAGTGAGAATACTCAAACTTATCAGGTACAAGATATTATCTTGATTGAACACCAAATTCTCGTAACCAATTTACATGGAGATGTGTAACAGCTAGAGGAGAGAATTAACAATCAGATCTTGGGAGTTTAAGGGTTAAAGACTGCATAACCCACCCTTCCACAACCGGGCTAGGTGTTTAAATCATGATGATGATAGCATTAAAAAAAATTGCTCCACTGTCAATTGAGAAAGTAAAGTTAAATAAATTTTATCACAAGGATAGAAAAAGGCAGTTAAACCTTTAACTCCCAAGACCTGATTGACAATTCTCCCCTCTAGCTGCTACATATGTCCTTGTAAATCAGTCATGAGAATTTGGGGCTGAATCAAGACAACAACTTCTACCTGATAAGTTTGAATATTCTCATTAGCTGTTTGCTAGATGATGTAAGGATATTGTAGGAAGAAGTTTCACATTGATCACTTCTAGGAGTTTAAGGGTTAAAAATTATCTTTTTCTATCCATACCCCACATCTTGGTAGTACCCTCTTGTAAATTCCCACCAAACGGTCTATCGCTCCTTCTCTAGCAATGAAAGAAAAAAATAGCAAAGTTAACAAAAACATTTTCAGCGACAAACTCTTCGGAAAAAGATCTGCCAAAGTATCTGTGCCAACAACAAGACCACCAATTCAAATCCATGTTAAAAATTTACCTGATTTCTAGAGACGGTAAGTGAGGGAGGAAATCATTGCCTACAAAGAAGCACATGAATACCCAGTCATCAAGACAGCGCTGAGTGAAGGAACACAACAATGGATTAATACTTGGTGTCACCCATCACTGACAAGCAATTTTCAATCGACTGTTCAAAGTAATCCGGGAGTTCTTTGGTTTTGCTTTACCTGGCTTTGTGATTGGTTCAGAAAGCTCGCGCTACTTTGTACAGGTGACAACCTGAGTTATCTTACAATTTGATGTTTAAGCACGAGTACATTTTTCAAACACAACAAAATTGCACGAGCCCGTAGGACAAGTGCAATTTGTAGTCTTTGAAAAATATATAAGTGCTTATTTACACCAAATTGCACGAGAAATTATGTTGTTACTACTTTAAAATTTCATGAAAATCGCATCACTGAAAGTCAAGACTCAAGACGGAAAAAATTTGGGTAGCGCGCGCGCGCGTTCTTTGTCATTTGCACTCGTGTTACATGAAAAATGCTCTTATTTTCAGTCAACCAGACGCGCATAATTTTTTATGTATATTAATACTGAACAAATCAAATTTATGGCGCCTTGGTGACTCGCGTTTTCTCGGACTTGTGGCGCTTTGCTTTTTTCTTACTGACGATAATTCATTCACTGGCAGCTAGTTCGGACAAGGGAAAGTTAAAACGGCAAGATCATTAATGACTTTTTCTTGGTTTAATTTTCAACATTCCTTTTTTCTGGATTTTCCTTGTCCATAAAAAACTTCACCAGGCTTTCTGAAGATAACAAATCCATACTCAGCTTAACTAACCTCAAAGCTATACGGAAAAGGGAGGCCTTCCATTCTTAACTCACGCTCGAGATACTATGAAGCAAATTTGAAGCAAGTTAAAGTGAATGACGATTTTATATACAAGCATACTTGCTTGTTTCAACAAACCCTTTCACTCCCAAGATCTCCTAAGTGATTCTCCTTACTGTCTACCATACGATTCTTAGGATGTTAGTTCTGTTAGATGATTTCGTATGGGTTTACTAATAATCCCCTGATTGATATTTTTCTTTATTCTTATCTCTTGTCTGCTTGATATTGTATTGATAATGTAAGGAGAAATTCTGTCTTGGTCACTCGTGGGAGTTAGAGGTTCTCAAGCAAACTTTAGAGTTACTGCGTCATCGCATTTTTAGCCTGCAGAGTAGGTGCATTTTGGCGAGCGAGTGCTTAGTATTTCCTCAGCGAAAATTATGGCCGCCATCTTTTATTTCAATGGCAGCAGAAGGCTGGGGAGAGAAAGAAATTTGTACCGCGGGGGTGAGCGATAATCAAGAATAAGGAGAGGGGTGGGGTGGGGGAAGTGAATATTGCTATCAACCATTATGCGGACCTCTCAAGAAACAAGGATATTTCACTGAGTTTTGATTTAGTTATTTCAAACTAATTGGTTTGTTTTCCCTTTTAGAAGCCCATTGTTGCCATGATTGACGGCAGACCACCTTAAAATTGAACAAAGTTAACATGTCGTTAAACGTTGCAGAAAAAAATCAAAACATTGGGTTTTAAATATGGGTATTCCTCTCGGAAAGTATGTTGAAGTCTGGAATTCTCAATAAAGAAGCTAGTGAGGTAGAATGTTCACAGGAAAGACATCTTTGTTGTTTCACAGTCTTGCCCAGTTTATCAACTTGCTATCACTAATACTCATAACCATGCAAGCACTGAAACCTTGTCTTTAATTTTGGATTTTTTCTTTTCTCAAATAATATTTTATCTTACCTCCCGTAAAACGTTCAGCCTGATGAAAATAAACTCTACTTCTTGAGCCACCGGTGCAGGGAGTTCATCAAACTGCATTAAAAACGTCAAACACCCTAAGCATCATCTACACCCTAACATCAGAATGCATATTCTACAAACTGTTTTCTATACACCAAGGTTCTAACAGGGAGAATTTGTTTAACAATCAAGCACTCCTTCTGTTGGTGATCATTTCCTTTATTCTCATGACCTTATGGTATGATTTTGGGGGGCCATTGTAAGAGGAAAATCAATGCTAGTCACTTTCAGGGGTCAAAGGGCTAAAAGGTACAGGAATCAATTACTATAATAGTGCTATATATATATATATATATATATATATATTTATATATATATGAGTTGACAGTAAGGGGATGAGTTATACAGAAAACTAAACTTGCAGTCATAACAGTGAGACTGACATCCATGTCACTTACTATGACAGTGTCTCCCTTATGTTCTTACAATGTGCCCTGCTAGGAACTTTAACTCCCAAGATCTCATTAGCAATTCTTCTTACTGTCTGCTGTACAATTCATATGATGTTAGTTTGGAGAATTTGGAATTGGATCAACCACTAATCCCCTAATTGACATTTTTCTTTATTCTCATCACTTGTCTGCTTAATATTGTCCTAATTATGTAAGGAGAAATTCTGCATAGGTCACTAGTAGGACTTAAAGGGTTAAGTTGACACATATTTTAAAAAACTCACCTCCCCTTGTTTTTCTTTTGGAAGACCCATACATTCATCCATAACATGGCCTGTGACCACAGAAAATGGGGTTAAAATAGAAACAAGACAATTCTTATTGGAAAAGTGCTTCAGATGGTACATAATGGAGGAGTGGTTTCACTTTAGCTGACGTTTCAATACAGGAGGAAGATAATAAAATAAACTGGCTGTTTCAACTCAGTTTAAAAGGTGACTGCGACAACTTGATTGAGGTAAAAATTATGGTATTTTTAAGGGGATGTCTTTGATCAGTGAATTTGCAATAGTACTGTCTATAGGAGTCGTGGATTAAAAAATCACATCTAAAGTAATAACAACAGGACTTAGAGAAACTCTCACCAACTTGACCACACATCTCACAAGGTCTCTTCTGGTTTGGTTTAAACTCTTCCCTGATGATTGTGAAGTGAAGCTCATGAGTGGCAAGTCCTGTACAAAAGAAGTGGAAAGGCAGAATCTTAACCCTCTGACTCCTAGGGGTGATTAGCTACTAATTTCTTCTTAAAACATCACCCCTGAATCAATCATTCAGGTCATGAGAATCAAGGAAATGATCACCAGCTAAAGAAGCTCTCGAGTGATAATCAAATTCTCCTTGTCAGCAATTTACGAAATGTATAGAGAACAGTATGGAGAATATGCATACTGATGTTAAGGTGTGAAGGATTAACACAAGGAACTGAACATGAGCAATAAAATAAAATTTGGTATCAATTCCAAATAATTACTGGCATCTGCCTGTGACAGGGTCCATACAAGAAATTGGCCAAAGAGGACCCAATGAGTAACTCCAAATTTTGTCAACTCATTTATAACAAAATGGGATTTCTTCAAAATACTCACCCAGCATAATCAGATCAGCTGAAAGAGACCAAACAACTGTGTCAGCTCTAATTATCTAATATCATTGATAATAAAATGATAATCACGACTTGCATTTTACATGAACATACCATCAGCACCATTTAAACAGTGCTTTGTGTTTGGGTCATGATGTGGACTTGCTGAAACAAACAGAAAAGAGAAGCAAATACAATTTTCATACCACTATAGTGAAGTTTAGGTTTATCAAATGTCCCAATATAACAAGGACTAAAAGAAAGAAAAGAAAGTTCTCCCCAAAATATCCAAAAATCTCAGCTGAGTCAAAGAAATAGAGAAAATTACAAATGAATATTTTCCAGTGATCACTTTTTTTTCCAAAGCCAACTTGTGATCAATTTGTAAGGTTCCTAATAATCCATTGCAGAGAGGGACAGAAAAGGATGCACCACCCAGTGTTTGGCCATTTAACCCTTTAACTCCCAAGATCTGTTTGTTAATTCTCCCTTCTGACTATAAGATATTTCCTTGCAAATCAGTTATGAGAAATTAGTGTTAGATCAAAATAACAACTATCTGGTAAGTTTGAGTATTCTCATCACCTGTTTCCTGGATACTGTATAGATTTTATGGGGAGAAGTTACATGTTAATCACTTCTGGGAGTTAAAGATGTGAAAATGGAAAAACAGAAAGAATGAGAAGAATGGCAGTCATGTGATGAAATGCTTTAGGTCAAGGCAGACATGAAAATATTTGACTCTTAGTCATGAAGTCCAGACCCCTGGCACTCTGTTTGTATGTTATAGCCTGGAGCCAAATCCTATCCTGTACAACTCATTCTATAGGTACATATGATCTTGGGAGTGAGAGGCAAATCTCACCTCTTTGCTTTCTGATGTAGTCCATAATCTTGTGCTCACCCTCTCCAGGAACATTAGCATCTGATAATATCACCTTAAAAAATTTATACATACTTTACATAAAATAATTCAAGATAATTCACACCTTAAACCCAAAAGCATCAACCAGTTATTAATTTTGAGCTTTATTAGACACACCTGAGTAATAATGAAAGGGATAACTACAGTTGTACTAATGGGATCTAATTTCTCCTTACAGTTATACTGCCTCATTAGTCATTAAGGTCATGAGAATAAAGGCAATGATCACCAACAAGAGAAGCTCTTGAGAGGTACTCCATAATTCTCCTTGTCAGCACCAAAGGAAATGTATAGAGACTGGTATGGAGAATATGCATAATGATGTTAGGGTATAGAAGATCAAGGTTAAAGCTTCATATAAGATTGTTTGACATAGTTAGCCCTCAGAGAGTTGTTGCTCCCCTTAAATGGTAAAAGATTCCTTTGTAGGTCACCCCAACATTGTGTCAATTTTCCTTGACGCTTCTCTGGTGGCCTTTTTACTCTTACACTTGTGTAATCTCAATGATCATTCCATGCACTTCTGCCATGCAATTTAAATCATTTTAGTTCTGAGAAACTTGATGTGTTAAAGCAAACAATAACCCTGCTTTGATACTTTCCTTTCTTTCTCACTCATCACCTGACTATTTAAAAATGTATTGATATCATTAAGAAAAATTCCTAAGTCACTGGAAGTCACCAGAAGAGAACAAAACTATCAAAACTTAAATTAAGGTGCACTGTACTTACTTTTATATTCCTCCATCCAGGATCATTGTTTAATCTGTCAGCAATGTAATATCTTAAACATATCGACAAATTGGCCATGAACTCTGTCCCCTGTAATAAAGAAAAATTCACAATCAGAGGAATTTCTGAATCCAATACACATTTGAAGTACATAATAAAACGGTGTAGTTTAACATCAACCAGTTATAAACGATTGCCAATCTTCACTCAGGAACATAAACTATACACATCTAGTGAGCAAGTCCACAATCTCTGTTGTCCACTAGAATTATGAAAGAATCAAGAGCATGACAGAGACAATTTATTAATTTATGTCCAAGCATCAGCCTTTTCAGATCATAGAGTGAAGCACACCAATGTAAACCTTCTGCTTTGGAATGATTTAACCCTTTCACTCCTATGATCTCTTTATTAATTCTCATGACAGTCTACCATACCATTCTTATGATATTAGTTTGGCGAATTTGGTGTTGGATCAACTAATAATCCCTATTGGATATTTTTCATCATTCTCATTACTTGTCTGTTTGGCATTGTATCAGTGTTGTCAGGAGAAATTCTGTCTTGGTAACTCATAGGAGTTAAAGGGTTAAACCTTTTTGTTCACAATGACAGTTATTTCATACACAGGTAAAAGGCAAGATTTACAGATGTCATCCTTGTAACATACAAAATATACCAATAACATCTGTTAACCCTTTAACTCCCAAGATCTCATTGTTAATTCTCCTTGCTGTCTGCCATACAGTTCTTGTGATATTAGTTTGACGAATTTGGTATTAAATAAACTTATAACCCCTAATTGATATTTTTCTTTATTCTCATCACTTGTCTGCTTGATATTGTAACGAGAAATTCTGTCTTGGTCACTCACAGGAGTTGAAGGGTTAAGAATCATTAATCACAGCATGCCAACAATTACACCAACCTCATTGCCTGAAGAGGACTGGCAGTATGCAGGTAAAACATTACAAATTTAATCCACACTGGTAAATAATTATTTAATACTGAATGCAACAAATAATAATGATCTAAATATCACTATTGCACTTCAGCACAATGAACAACCAGATCCAGCTTTACACAATTACACTTACTGGCGTAATACAGTTACTATCAAAGTGTTCAGTTTTTTCTTTTTCTGGTGGTAAAAGAGCACCTACAGAAGAAAGTAATAAAATCTGTTTAGTGTACAATTCCAAACTGCATGAAACTTGACCTGTCTGAGCATCTGGGAGGGGTAACTTTTCCATTTGGACTAGAAAAAATATGACTTTACTTGTTTGATCAGAAAACCATGGGCAATAATTTATTTTTTCACCAAACTTTGGACATGATACATCATTTCCAATTTTGATAAGTTTGTTTCCCATAAAAAAAAAACACTAACAGAGAGTAATATACATTTAAGCATCATTTTGCATACCTTTTTCCATTAATTCACTTCGAATTCTTGTCATTTCCTCTGCTTTTTCCCTAAAAAAGGTTAAAATTTAGCATTTCCTGCTATTATGTTTTCATCTGTAGTGTGCAAACATTTGCACTAATTGGGTTACTGTTTTATTACTAACTTGGTTTCTTTAGATGCTCTGAAACGACGAGATCTTTGCTGGTTCATTTTTGCCCTTGGAGCCTGCAATAGAAATGAAAAAATTAAGACAAGCATGCATAAATATTATCATAAATAAGCCAAAATAGAAAAAATGTATATTTTATAACAGATTAATAAATATACTAGCAAAGTGCCTCATACCACTCCATCAATGGCCATGTAAAGCAACTTTCTGGGTCTAACTATTGAGAAGATTCTGAAAAAAAAAAAGAAGAAGAAGAAATTGATTGTAGTGGGTAATGAATGTTAAATATAATTAAATGGAATATGCCATAGATAACAACTAAGAGAAAATATGGTCAGTAGCATTTTGAGGTGTATGATAAATGTCTTGGCTGGCTGTTAACATTCATGCAGCATTTGTTGCATTCTGTAGCGTTTTGCAGCAGTACTGTGGTCGTTGGGACCTTGAGGCTGTCCTTATCCAGTGGTATACCTTATCAGTGCATATGTTGTTCTACCACGCGCTTGCATTGTAATCACTCTTCTATGGTGTAGTGTTGTTGTCCTTGCAGATTGCGGATCTTGGCATTTTTGTCCCCCCCCCCCCAACCCTAACTGTAGGGTTTATTTCTATTTATTATTATTTTTTATTTATTGATTAATTTCTTTATTTATGTTTTCCTCCACTCAGCCATCTGGCTCTTGTGTGACAGTGCTCATAGGGGGCCTGGTTTAGGACGCTTGTGGTTGGATTGCAGGTTGGGCAGGCCAATCTGGTGTTCAAGCACCTAAGGGTGCTACTGTGGTTTCAGCCCCCAGGTCTCCAAAGCATGTAGCCTCCATTTGTGATGTGGGCATTAACCGAGACTAAAATTGTACAGAGTGTTCCCTTAGCAAGAGATGTGGTGGCGTAATGGTCAGTGCACTGGGCTTCTGTTCTAGAGGTCTAGGTTTGAGACCAGGTCATTTTGTTGTGTCCTTGGGTAAAACAGGTTAGGTACACAGTACATCTCTCCAACCACGAGTAAAAATAAACAAAAAAAAAGTACCTGTCAATGTACTCAAAAATAGCCACCATCATCTCATCTTCATTCTTTGGGGCTGGCCTGGAAATAAATTATAAAATGTTTATTTCTTTTACTTAATGTAAGCAAAAAGTACACCTACAGTACAGAGAGGGTTAACAACAATACTTACGCAAGAGGAAAGAAAGAGGAGGAGAAGTAATAAAACCATATAATACAACAGAGAAAACACATTGAGATTTGTTCCCATTTGCTCTATGCTCCCAAATCAAGGATATACTCATGCAGAATAGGCCACACTTAGCTTAAATAACACAAATATAAAAATTGCTGCTTACTTGTTTTCAGGATGACAACAAGGATGAATGATTCCATTCATGTCCAGGTATAAGTTATCAAATTCATAGTCATTGGGGTTTGGTAAACTTGTGTCCACTGGGGCTCTAACTCCATCCACTTCTCGTCCCTAGGATGGTGAAAAACTAAGATAAATATTCATTTTGCATACCAAAATTTCTGTGCTATGGTGCTATGCAATCATTTTTTCCTTCAGTGGATTAAGGGTTCGATTTTCTAAAGAAACTGTGGTCCTGTATTGGTGAAGGGGTATTACTAGATAATGTGGTTTTATAAACTGGTTCGGTAATGTTAATTAGCCACAGGAAATAGATTCTAAAACTGACATTTCAAGTATTAGCGTTTCATCAGAGCAAACGATGAAGGGGTAACCGTTGAAAAATCAGCTTTAGAAACTCTATTCAGTGGCCAATATACATTATCCTCAGTTGATAAAACCAAATTATTATTTTTCCTTTCCCTACCACTTTGATCAATAATAAAAATACGAAATTGGTCCTTTTAGAAGAGGCATAGAAGATACATGCACACTGTAACATAACCTAGTTCTTTATTAGCAATCCAATATAGAAACTTCTTAATTTAAGAAAATCGTTCATTAATGAACAAAAAACCCTGTGCTCAGGTTTTGATCCTTGATCAAGTCAGCTTTCTCACTTTCAGAAAGAGCTTTCACTATCTTAAGAGGACTGTTTCCGAGTCCGCGCGCTGAGAAGTCTCAATTTTAAAGTGTTTCTTTGACAAACAGTTGGCACTGATCTCTATTTAAACGGCCTCCCTACATTGATAATAGTAAATTAATACTTAATTTAATATCATAGCAACAGGGTAGAAAGACCGCAAAATACCGGCTCAAAGAGTAAATCTTAAACACGTGTAGCTGGACCAACAACAAGCTAAGCTATCAATCCTTCCATCGACTCACCTTTTCTTCTACACAGTGGACAACGATCGACGGGTACTTCTTTGATAGCCAGCGAAAAAATGCTGGAACTCCCATCCCCGCGTATTCGGTTGAGCAAATTGAAGTTAACTCAACGCGGAAATGTATAAAAGCCTACGTAGAAAGGTCATAGGCTTACTGGAGAAGATACGAAGGTTTCCTCAGCTGAGAAACTACACCTTATACATGACGTACTTACCAAACTCTCTACCAGGTGACATACCGCTGACAGGTTTATCTCGCAATGGTAAAACATAGGCAAGAAATGCGTGCATACATCTTCAAACCACATCGAGAAAAAAGTTCAAGCTCGTTGCTAAACAAAATATGCTTATTGAAGAGATAAGAATTCTCGAATTCATGACTTTTTTCTGACAAGATACACTTCAATAGTTAATTTTTCAAGCAACTTTGGGTGGTAATGCCTGCTGCGTTCCAATAGGTGTCCTAGTACGACTTTTTTGGTTATCTCGTATCGATATTGTCTCAAGCAACAAAAAACAACCTCACAGAACAAAAATAATACAAAAAAATCAAACAAATAAAGTTTTTCCTTCAGACCACGGATGCTTAAAAAGCTAATAGTGAAGGGTGGAACAGAAACTTGCTGTTACTACGAAACAAAAAAAACTTATTTTGTTCTTTTCTTGTTTTTAAGGAGTCTATTGATAAGAAGTTTTTCCATGTGAAACTAAAAACAATAAAGAGTGAAGGGCCTATATAGTTAGATACTCTTAAAGTTATCTGTCAAATGTTTATAAAAGATGGCGCAAACGGAGTCATTGCCACTGGGTTCTCCACAGCAATGAACCTGTGCTACTTTTCATCTTACCAATAACAATCCCAATTCATGGGAAAGTTTCATTATTGCGATGCTCGGAAATCTTGAAATCATTACATCTTGTTATGTACCAATGATTTGTCATTAAAAGGCTCTTGCTGTGTAATGTTGAAGTTTGTAGAAATAATCATTAAAAACTCAACAGAGTTCCCTAATTTTGTGTACCTATCCTCTTAAAAACAAAAGTTGGTGGTAGATGTTATTTGTTTCACTGAGTGAAGATTCATCACTTTTGATCAGGATTCAGATACAAGTGAAGAGGAAGAGATCCGCGAGGGAAGACTCTTAAACACCGACAGAAAGGTTAAAGATGTTAATGAAAGCCAATGATTGATCAGATGAAGAGAAAGCACCTATAAAAATCTAGTTTTAAGGAACCTTAATTTGTGAATTGTATATTTACCACTTTCCCCATAGCAAGCTTTCAGAAGTTTGAATAATGTCCTCACTTGACTTTTGTTTCATCTATATTTACGTTAAAAATGAAAAAAATAATAATAATACAGGACGATTTCATCTCAGCTATCTTTTTTTTGCCAATGTGTGTGTAAATCGGGGTGTATGCATTAATTAACAACAATTGCTATATTCAGTAACTAAGCTTAATAATGATTTAAAGATATATGTATCGTGCTCATTGAGTCTATACAGGCAATAAAAGATTGTAAACAAGGCCTATAAAAACTGTAAAAAGTGCATGGTTTCCATGTAGTTTTATTTTTTGATTCCCGGCCCCCAGTGGATTCCTGATTTTCAGCAATTAGCGTGTGCATCCAGGGCTTCCTTGAGCAGCTTCCATCCTTCTGTCTTCTTGAACTCCTCCTCGCTGATTCCTTCTTCTTCTTCACTGGACTCTGAATCCTGCTGAACATATAAAAAATATCAGGCTAACTTCGGTGTAAAAACCTGTAAAGTTTGTCTTTGTTTTGTCACTATTATTTTCCTAGTCTCTACTGTTTTGACTTCGTCACGTCACTTGTGAACGTAACAGGTTCTTATACCAAAGCTGAGCCAAAATGTTGAAGCCAAATAATAGAGTGAAATGGGGCCACGTCATTCTGGGAACTGCAAACGAAGATATTTATGTAGGCTTACAGCCGACAGCGTTCATATCTTTTTGCCGAGCCAAGAACGGCAGCTGTAAGTCAGATTTCCTTTTCTCGTATGATAATTAATTTTTCTTCCGTAGCGGCATATTCTCCATGCAAAGACCAGGGCATTCCAACTGATTGGAGATGGTTAAGAAGCACAAACTAAAATCAGTGCGGCATTAGACTTTCTGTAGCACGTTCGTGACTCGGGTAAAGAGTTCAAAAAAAGCCCGTACTTTTAATAGCTCTCTATTTTTCTATGAGGCAGATATTTCTCTGAAATGGAGTAGAGTTTTTGCGCTAGTGTAAATTAGATGGTAAGAACTAATCGGGTCATTACACCATAGAAAGTGACAGTAATTTACCCTTTCTGAGAGGCTAGACTTGTCTTCAAATCGAGCTTCGAAAGCTGAGCTCGGAGCGAGGAAAATACACAAAACATGAGCCAAAACCGGACTGCGAAGGATTTCAGAAAGCCTAACTGAGGCATACCTTTACCTTCTTCTTAACTTTCTTCTATTGCTAGCTAAGCAGGTCAGATGGCATAAGATTAGTATTCTACAGATTATTTTAGGTCAGTGTACCATAGAGTTTTTTCAGTAAAGTATTCAGATCTTTGCATCTTAGTAGTCCTGGTTTCGTTACGAGCTTCTTTTAGACCAGTTATTATAGAAGAAATAGACATTAGATCACGGGGTAGAAAAACTGAGTTACACGGCGGATATTACAAGAAATGTACTAGTGCTGAAAAAATTCAGCATCCCTCTAGAACTGGCACTTCTTGATTAGACTGTGCACATCCGTCCCCTTGGGGACGGGGATATATGCAAATGCCTTGTGCGCATGTTGCATTTCATCTCTCAATATATACCCACCTCAGAACCAAAGGTCACTTCCACAATTCTCTCTGTTCTTTTTCCATAAATTTTCCTCAGTTCTTCCTAGAATCATATAAGTAATATACAAGAGTTAATACCATGCATGAATTGGCATTGAAAGTTACCTCCAGTGCAGTCCTCGTTTTGTAATATTTTTTTTTTGGAAGCCTAATTGTATTACAAGGAATAAAAATGTTTTGAGGAGATCTTGCTACGGAGAGAATTTTTGTAACAGGAACGGTGGAATGGCGGAGTGGCGGAAAAAGACACCAAATCCTAAAACACGGAACGGCGGAAAATGACCCCAAATCCTAAAACACGGAACGGATGTCAGGGCATGTTGCACAAATGTTGTATAAAGACACCAAGCGCTTGGCTCATTTATCCCCACGACGATAACGCGCGTGACTAGAATTAAGCGTTATTAATTATTTTTTCTTTTACTGTGTGGTATAAATAATAATGAACCATTATGCATGAAAGATAGCTGCGTTTTCGCGTTGTAAACCTGTTTAGTTATCTTTTGTTATGCTAAATTTGCCATGAGTTTTAGTCGCGGCATAAAAAGTCGCACAGCATGTGAAAACCAACTTGACATACCACATTACAATAAACAATTGTAGCTTTGATACGTTTCCTGGTCAAGTCTACATTGATTTATTGAAACAGTAATATCTCATATGCTTGTAAATGTGAGAACATCACAGGAACGTTTTCAGGCTTCTAAAAATATGACAACGTTCAGCCCCAGCTCCAAACTTAAACTAGCGTGAGAGCAAGCCCTCGTTACGAGCCCTTCAATACGAGCTTTTTTTTCATCCACGAATAAGTTTGGGGACTTGAGTAACACTAGGTGAAGAGAGGTTTGCTTGGTGTCACGTGCACAGGAATTTCTCATGGCGTTTACCACTATTCGCATGGAAGCAGTTGCGAGACAAAAAAGAGGCTATTGGTCGAGGATCCTATGGTTTGGTTTATGCGACTTTTTGTGCCGCGACTAAAACTCATGGGGATGAATGAGCCACGCGCTCGAGTGTTTTTGTACAAAATTTGTGCAACATGCCCTGACATCCGTTCCGTGTTTTAGGAATTGGGTCATTTTCCGCCGTTCCGTGTTTTAGGATCTAGGGTCATTTTTCGTCGTTCCGTGTTTTAGGATTTGGGGTCGTTTTCCGCCACACCGCCATTTCGCCATTTCACCGTTCCGGGTGTCCCAGCGGATTTGGACCCCCCTAGAATTGGACCCCCCGGTCCAAATCCGCTAGCGGATATGGACTCCCCTCCGCGGATTTGGACCCCTTTAACAAAACTGAGTAAAAACATTACCATACATAACTTCCTAATAGAAATAATAAAAATTTAGAAAGTAGGCTTTCAAATCTAGGGTCATTTTTCGTCGTTCCGTGTTTTAGGATTTGGGGTCGTTTTCCGCCACACCGCCATTTCGCCATTTCACCGTTTCACCGTTCCGGGTGTCCCAGCGGATTTGGACCCCCCTAGAATTGGACCCCCCGGTCCAAATCCGCTAGCGGATATGGACTCCCCTCCGCGGATTTGGACCCCTTTAACAAAACTGAGTAAAAACATTACCATACATAACTTCCTAATAGAAATAATAAAAATTTAGAAAGTAGGCTTTCAAAGAAAGTTTTTTTTTCAGAAAGTAGGTTTTTATATTAAAACATTCTCGTAGACGTGATCTTTTTCTCAGCATTGCGTCTCAATTTAAGATTTTCGTTTAATTAACCTGCAGCTGTAAGTCTGTTGTTTACCTCTGGAATGAAAATGAATTCTTCAGAATTGTATTGCAACAGAATAAGAAAGGATTTGGTATGAGTTTCAATAGTTCGAATCCAATAGTTTGTTGTCATTTAATTCATGCGTAGGCTATTCTACCAACTCAAATAAATGTGTCAGAAATGAAACGATATCTGCCCTTTTCTTCGTCAATTATAGTACGCAATCTTGTGTTGAAATTTTAACGGACATCGCCTAAAAGCTCGCAGTTGGAACAAGTTACGAAAAAGGAATGTTTAGTTGGGGGGGGGGGGGTCCAAATCCGCGAGGGGGGGTCCAAATCCGCCAGCGGATATGGACCGGGGGGGTCCAAATCCGCTGTGACACCGGCTTTTAGGGTCGCCCCGTTGTCTTATAGGGAAAATTTTACGCCAGAAAATAACGGCGTAATTTCTTCCAGTCAGTTGTGTTTATATGTAAGATTTTAAGCCAGTAACTAACGGCGTAATT